GGGGTTCAGCCAGCCTTGAGGAGAGAGTTCGGTGTGTAGTTCGAGTGGCAGATCCCAATGATACAACGTCAAGATCGGTACGATGTTGTTGGCGTTGAGCTCGTCGACTAGGGCGTGGTAGAACGCAAGACCCTGAGGGTTTGGTTGCATGCGTTTGGTCTCTGGATTCCAGTTCATGGCTCTCGACCACGAGACAGAGAAGCGCGAGGACTGCAGACCGGTCTCGACCATGAGCTTGATGTCGTCTCGGTAGCGATGGTAGAAGTCGTCGGCGACGTTTGCACACGCCACCTTCTTCCTATGCTGCGTGCGGCAGAATTCGTCCCAGATACTAGGAGTGCGGCCGCCTTCATTCCACGCACCCTCGACTTGGTACGCGGCGGTGGCCGATCCGAACATGAAATCCGCTGGAAAGCAACGAGGCGCGTCATCGGCAAAGACCGTTGCGCCTGCCAACGCAGCGCCGAGGAGGTGAAGAAGTCGCATCCTGTCAGTTCGAAGAATCTAGATGAGGGACCTGGCGTAAATGGCAGCCGCCGGTTCGCTTCAAAGATATCGCCAAACGGAAGTTGGATTTGACGTCATAAAGAACTTTTTTTCCTTTTTTCTTTTTTTATTGGAGCGATTCCCGCAGCCGTTTGAACTGGTTCAAATTCATAATTAGCCCTACCCTCAACAAAAAGGGACGTTCTGTTACAGACGCTGCGAAGCCCCCCCCCCCCCCCTCGCTTTCAAATAATGAGTCTGCGTCTGCGCATCAAGTTCTAACGGTAACGTCCTGCGATTTGCTGTGGCATTCGAAATTGCAGTGAGCCCAGTAGCTATGAGTCATAACGAGGACTACCGACGTGATAGATACGTCTCTCGCCAGTACGCGTACAATCGAGATGGATCTGACTCACATTGGTACGACTCAACACGTGGCAGATATGGTAGTGACGGCTATAATGATTGCAGTCGATCGGATTCCCATGGCTACGGATATCACCGGGATTATGACGTTTCCTCGCAGTACGGAGGTGGAGCCTCGAGGTACAGCGACTCTCCTGGGGAACACGACCAAGGTCACAGTGGCTATGATCGAGGATACGGCGACTACGGTGAGGGCTACAATGATCGATTCGGATCGCATGGAGGGTACGCTAGCTGGGGGAACCAAGGTGGCCACGGTAAAGGGAGAGATCGAGAACGCCATGATCGTAGCTATGGAGGAGATAGAGGCGGTGGCCACGGACGTGACGACCGTGGCTACGGCCGGCAACGAGACTATGGAAGCAACGATCGTCCTGGAGAAGAAGATCGTGGTTATGATGGAGGCCATCGCAACCGCGACGGACGCGGAGAAAGGGGCCGGAGAGGCGGTCGTGGAGGCAGTGGCTCTCAAGAAGGCCCTGGTGCAGGCTTTATCTCTGGCTCTGGATACGAGCTGATCGGAAACCCCATCTCCGACCCTCGCGTAGAAGAAGAATGGAGTGGTCGAGCAGGTGCCCATGAAGTTCGTAGTGATGACCCGGACCTGCAGAGAGAAGTTCAGATTTGCCATCGACCTGGTGTTGCCTCCGGTGGCAGGACAATACCTGTGAACGTCAACTACTTCAAGGTGTCAGTGGACAAAGCACCTAAGGAGATATTCAAGTATCACGTAACTGTGGAGCGTTCGAGGGACGTTGCTGCAGCCTCTAGATATGGCACCACTGGAGCTCAGCAGATTACTGAAGATCCTGGTGGTGAGGCCGCCAATGCAGCGCCACGACATGAGCCGAGACCAGAGCGTCCACTGCCACGTGCATTAATAGGAACTGTCATAAACGCCACCTTGCTACAGTACAAAGAATCGTTTGAGGGCGTTCGGGTGGTGCATGACGCAATGGCATCGCTGTACGCACCCGTGAAATTATCTTGGACCTTAAAAGAATTTGTAGATGTGGACCCGGACAATACTGATGCAGCTCGTGACTATCGACAACAAATGGCAAGCTCACACAGTGAGAACACGAAGGCTTGTGTCAACAACTTTCGAACGTACTTGGTCAAGATGAAGATGGTGGAAGTGATTTCGTTGGCAACGCTGAACAATTACTACTCTGATGCAAGTGTGAATGTTATGCCTGTCGTACAAGCTCTGAATGTTGTGGCTCGCCACCTGGCGACCCAGCGCTTTGTCACCGTTGGATCTGAGTTATACAACATGAAGGATAAGAAACTGCGTTTGTTAAGTGGTGGTAAGGAGATCTATGGGGGTTACCACCAAGCGCTACACGTCGCAGATCATAAAGTGGTGATGAATATCAATCAAACAATTGGAGTATTTTACTCCCCAGGGCCGTTAATGGATCTGGTCATGGCGGCACTGCGGGTACGCAACGTTAATGACATTAAGAACCTGTCGGAGAAGCAGTTGAAGGGCCTTGCTCGCGCCCTGCGGAAAATCGATGTCTTTCCAACTCATCGTTCGGATCGACGTCGACCAATCTGTGGAGTAAGCGCCATGGGAGCCGACAGAACTATGATGAATTATAAGGGAGAGGTGAAATCTGTGGCAAACTACTTCAGCGACCGCTATCAGAAGACTCTGCAATATCCTTCACTTCCAATGGTAAATGTTGGCAGCAAGCGTCCAGGGAAAGAGACGTGGCTGCCTATCGAGGTGTGTACAGTTGCCCCCGGCCAACACTTCTCCAGCTCCGATAACGTGGATCAGCCCGAAGTCATCCGGTTGGCCAGCCAGCCTCCTCGAGCTCGCCAAGCGGATATTCTGAATCACGTTCACCAGGCAGGATTTGAGAACGATCCATATCTGGAGGCTTTCGGTTTGAACGTGGAGCAGAGATTCCAGACTGTGGAGGCTCGCGTAATGGATGGACCGTACGTACAATACGAGAACGTATCAGTGCATCGATCCGACGGACAGTGGAGTCTCAATAACAAAAAGTTGGTGTGTGGTATGTCAATTCGGAACTGGGGCGTGGTCGTCCTAGGTGAAACTCGGAAATCCGAAGTGAACAAGTTCAAGGACAAGTTGTGCGAGGCCGGGGATGAGCGTGGAATGCCGTTCAAGAACAAGCACCCCGTAGTCATTCTCCAAAGAGACAACCGAGACATGGAAGTGGATGAGCTGATGGAGCTTTGTTTGCGGGAGCTGCTGGAAAAAAATGAGGAAGGTTCTCCACAGTTGATTCTGGTGATCTTGCCAGAAACGAACTCTGTTCATTATGGTGAAGTCAAGAGAATGTCCGACACGGTGCTGGGAATTGCTAGTCAGTGTGTGGTAGCGGAGAAATTGCGAAAGGCCAATGCCGCATTCTGTGCTAATGTCTGTCTGAAGATCAACATGAGGCTTGGAGGCAAGAATGCTGTGCTAAAAGGACCGCTTCCGCTTATAAGCGCTGCGCCAACTATCGTTATTGGAGTTGATGTTGAACGCAGTAGTTACGGTATGGACGATCAGCCTGCGATTGCGGCAGTGGTGGCGTCGATGGACGCATATTCTGCTCAGTACGCAGCACGTGTGGCTGCTCAGAATCCGCGCAAAAGTATTGAGAAACTGCCAAAAATGCTGAAAGAATTATTTCTCGTTTACTGCAAGAACACGGAGCGTAGACCCGAGCACGTGCTGTACTATCGCGATGGTGTGAGCGATGGAGAAATGCAGAGCGTCCTGCAGACGGAGATGCGAGCTCTGTGTACGGCATTCAAAATGATTTCTGGTGACTACAAGCCGTTAGTGACTTTCATTGTGGCAAATAAACGGCATCATGTGCGAGCTTTTCCGGTCAATTCGCGCGACGGCGACTCGAAGGGCAACGTGAAGCCTGGAACGGTGATTGATTCGGTGGTTATGGATCCTCACCTGTTCAGCTTTTATCTTTGGGGTCACAGTACGCTGCAAGGTACAAGCCGGCCGTGCCATTACACTGTGCTGTACGATGATAACAGCTTGGCTGCGGAGGACGTGCAGCTGCTGACGTATCATTTGGGGTACACATTTGCCCGATCGACACATTCGGTGTCCGTGATTACTCCTGTTTACTACGCCAACGAAGCTGCAGCGCATGCTCGTCACTTTCTGGAAGAACGCATGGCTGGCACAGACACTACAGTCTCAGGCGGCGGGAGGTTCAAGTTCGCCAATGTGCACAAGGAAGTGCTGAATCGCATGTTTTTCATTTGAGCTAATTGTGCTCGGTTGATGAGTGACGATGTAAGAGGCGTAAAGGAGATTGCAGGTAACTCGACTCCAATACATGGTTTGTGGTTGGAAATTTACTTCAAAGGTTTTAGATTGCATGTATTGTGCTGTTTTTCTTTAACTCAAGGGTGATGATTATTTGCTGATATAGGCGAAGCTGTCGCTGTTTAGTCCAGGCTTAAGTGAACTGAGAGGAACTGACGTCTCGTCCGACCCCAGTGTCTGTAGGAGATGGCTTCCGTACATTGCAAAACGAGGTGGGCGTCTGCTGTTGGTGCGCAGTCCGCAGTTGTTACGCCGTCGCCGAAGGACCTGCAATGTGAGGAAGACGAACTCTTTCTCGGTCACACCACCAAGCGATACTGCGGGTGCCGTCGGCTCTGAAATCTCTTTGTGCGGTTTTCTAACGGGACGCTTTGCATCAAGCTGTTTGGCTTCGAGCAAGCCTCGGAAAGTGCTTTCAAGCTCCTCGATGTCTAGTGACGACAGCGTCTCGTTCTCCAGCGTCGACCAAGCCTGTGTGAGCAGTTCAAGTGGCGAGGAATGCATCGCGATGGCTGTTGCTCCTACTGACACGGTTGGTAGCACTGTGGAGGAACGTCGGGTGCTCATCCGACTAATTGGTCTTCCGCTCATGTCCTCACTTTCACACTGTAAAGCTTCTCCGTTTTCAACTGTCGTGTTCTCGACTGCTGTCTTCGCCTCTGCCAATTGTGTCCTGGCAAACGGTGACGACAGCAGCAGTTGGTGGCGGAAACTCTCACGTAGTTTGCTTTCAAGTCGCCTGTCGTACTTGATCCACGTCGTTGCGAATAGTGCGAGGAAGACGTCCACAGCGATACAGTCGGCTGAAATGGTGTCTTCAATCGAGTTTGATCTCAGCACAGGAGCAAGTCGAGATAGCCAAGCTTTCGTGTCATCCAGAATGTCCTGGTCAACAAACGGGAAATGCTGCGTCAAAAGCTCACATGCCAACCCACGTGGGAGTGCCCAGTTCTCTTCGGTCGGAACTTCTTCCACTGCAGCGAGAGATGGCACGGAGGGATCCAGCTCTAAGACGTCACCCAGTGCATCCACGACTGCATTCAGTAAACAAGCCGACAGATTTCCACCAACTGCCGCAGAATCTACTGCAGATACATTGGGATCGAAGGGTACGAGCTCGCAAAGTCGACTAAAAAGTGCTACGCGGACTTCAGCGGCGTCAAAGTGCTGCCGCAGCTGAAGTTCTTGAACTGCATGATCATTTTCTGCCTGGTCGTGGCGTTGCTGATGTTGTTGAAGCTGGATGTGTTGAATGAGCTTTTCGGGCATTCCTGGAAAACAGTCAACTAATGTAGTGGATCCAAAGAAGGTAGCTCCTCGACGATGAATGACCTTAAGCTGCTCGTGGTAGTAGAAGCAGCTCTTAACGACCTCCATCATGTGAAAGTCAGCCAGTGCCGGTACTTCGTATCGTGCGAGGAAGAACTCTTTCATGAACCGGTGAAGTGGTGTTCGAACTGCAGCGACAGACACTGCTCCTTCGTCAGCAGAATTTGTATCAACCTCCGAACGAGCGATACGAGCACTCAATACCCTTCGTCGCCGTAAAGTCCGGGCGTCACACTCGAGCTTCTCGAGATATAACCGAAGCAAAATGCGGTTAAGTTGAGCTTTCTCCAAAACGCGCTGTATCCGAGGTCTCGAGTCCAGTTGTGCTCGTAATGTCGCTGGGATCACCTGGTGTTTGGTGACTGCCAAGATCTCGTGGTTCGCTGACTGCTCTTGTGGTTGGTTGTCTTCGTCCTCATGCTCCTCCTGTATCGACGGATGGCTTTGAACTGCTACATCTGATTGTTCACCATCGTCGTCGGAATCATACTCCTCGTTCACCGACTTCCACTGACCGCCACTTCGAGAAGTGAGGTGTGAAGATTTCTCAAAGAATGACCCCTCAGTTTGCGTACTAGCGGTGCTTGCACTTAGCATTCGGTGCATCATCTGATGCTCTTCTTCGGTTGACCCATAGCGCCAAAGCAAGGCAACGGCAGTCGAGTTGATGAAACGATCCATATCGTTTAGCACGCGGGTATTACGCTCTTCGCCCTCGAAAAGAGCTTTGAAAAGTTGCTCAAAGTCGGTCGAATAGCTCTCAATCGGGTGCACAGTTTCTATTCGTGCCAGAGCGTCTTCGTCAACGCCATAGAGCTCACGTTCCTCCACGTCTCCAATTGCAGCGATGTCTTCACAGAAGTTCTCTTGCGTGCCCACTTGTTCGGCAGAGTTGGACCTTTCGTAGCGAGTTGCTTCCATGGTATCTTGGGCATTCAGTACTCGGTTTACGACCAGATGTAGCTGACCGTTCTCCACTGCTAAGCGGTTGGCACGTTGGCGAACCTTCTGTAGCTCAGCTCTCACAGTCTGTTCACTCACACGTTGGCGAGCAAGTTCGTCTTCATACCGTTGCACAAGGGCTGCCTGTCGCTGTAGCCCTTCTGCATGGAAACGCTCGATGAACGCGAGCTGGTCGCGGAGCTGTTGCGCATCCTGCAGCGCTGCATTCGCCACTTGCAGCAATACAAACACGTTGAGCGATGCTAGGTCCCATACCTGTCCAATGAGGCGACACAATCTTGGAGAGAAGAGCGACAACAGTGATACCACCTCCTTGAGCATATTGGTACATACGGTATGGTACGACGAACAGCGTGTCGGAATTTGAGTGCTGGTACCCGTTACAGCGGCATCCGTGGCTGCCGGCAGCTTGGGCAACTGGTGGATGCAGTCATGAACGTACGACTCGAGTAGCTACACATCGCAAGCAGTGACAGGTCAGCTCAGTGAATCGAAGTAATAGATGCATGCTCTAGCGTACATCCAAGTCGTGGCTCGTGAAGTGATTCGACTGCATGGAGGACCAGTTTTGTGATAAACTGCTCGCGGTTCGATCAACAAAATGGCTACAGATTCTATTATTTGTGTTCTATTTATGCGTAACCATTTTAGGATATTCCTGGTTGAAGTGGGCTTGTCTAGTTCCTAATAGTGCTTCGTGTATCAGGATGGAACCGCTCTCATCACGAACCTGGATCCAACATCAAGCTGCCCTGCCTTCCTGTAACCAGCGCAACGGGCACTTCCTTAGTGATCCAGACACGGCGTTCTCAGTGAAGAAACTTGTTGACCTCAATGAGTCTGCCGCCTCTCTCTCGCCTGAACTTGAGAACTCAACTGACAATCTCCAAGACAGTGGTCATGAACGTGCGGAGAGCGAGCATGAAACACAAGTCGGCAATGAAGACGAGATCCGCGAAGCTCTCGCACAGCGCTGTCGACAGCTGCAGGAAGACGTCGAAGTGCTTGTGGTTCACATGGAGAAGCAGGAAAAAACTCATGCAAGAGAACGCAAGAAAGCGGAAGATGAGCATCGTGCGCTACTGCTGAAAAATTCTGCTCTTGAGCGTGAGCTGAGTGGGTTACGCGTCGAGAGGGATGCCTTGTTCAAGCAAAATGCGCGGATGGTGGCTCAACGCACTGATGACGAACGACAAGCAAACGATGAGGGTGAAGCGCACGATGAAGTGCTTCGAGCTCTCGCACAGCAGCAGCAACAGAAAGAAGCTCTGCAGGTTGCAGTTACCAGCGCAACTCAAGCCCGAGCGGAGACACGTAATGCGTTGGACAAGGCTCAAATGCATTGCCGCAGACTGGAAGAGGAACTCTCGTCGGCTCATGCCCAGGTGCTGCACCTCCAAAACGAGCGAGACAGCTTGAAGGCCGCACTGGATGCCACTATCACCGGTGCGGCTGGGTTCGAGGCACGACAGCTCCAGGCACAAGACGAGGTGATTGCCAGTCTACGTGCTGATCTGGTGCAGATGGATTTCGAGTTGAAGACACTTTCAGTAGACAAAGACACACTAGAAGAGCAAGTCGAGAAGCTCCAGCTACGGCTGGCAACCTCCGAGCGCGATGGCGACTATGAGGTCGTTTCTCTAACTAACAACAGCGACAAGATAGCGAAGCAAAAAGGTCAGAAGAAGCGCACGACAATCCGTCCTGTGAGATCAAATAGGGAGACCACTGGCAGACGCGGGTCGGATCTGTTTAACAACTTGATGGAGCTGCCTAACACAGTCACCGAGCCGCAAGAATGCGCGAATGCAACCATTTGGTTGTCACCAGCTGCTTCATACTTTTCGTCCTCTAACAGCCAAGATCATCGACGGCGTAGCTTTCGCGAACGAATTGCACCGCCAACAGGCTTGACATCGTTCGTGTCGAAGACCGTTCAGTCAGCGCGAAAGCACCTCGCCTCACCCCTGCACAACACATTCGGAGGTAACCAGGAGAAGTAGCTTCCGCCTTTGATCAATCATAGAGCTCACAATAAACGTTAGGTCACCGAAAGTCTATTCCTTTTTTCAATATTTGAAAGGGGCTTTTAAATCAAAACCCATGGGGTGTGCTGCTCCTAGTACTCAGCCTTCTCCACGTCCTTCTCGTTAAGAAGTGTCTTGGGGACTTCAGAATGGCTCACGTAGGACAGGTACGCGTTCCAAAGCAGCCCAATCACATTGGCGAAGAGCACCTGCATCGATCCAGGCACGAAGCGAAAGTTTAGGATCTGGGCCGGCACCCAGACAACCCAATTGGCTTTCGTGACAGACCACCAGTCGGCGCGCAGCTTGTCTGGGATATCCTCACTGTGTCCCTCGAGCATCAACACCGACGACAAGATAATCGGCAGGAACGTGGGTGCAAAGCCCAATTGGTCCAGTGCCAGCCGCTTAGCAACTGCAGCCGTGGAGACCCCGGGCAGCCTCGAGCCCAGAAATCCGTACCACACGTGGAGCGCGGGTGAGATCAAGAACCCGCCCAAGAACGTGAAGATGGCGGCGCGTTTCAAATCTAATTTGGCGTCACCGTCTTCGCTTTCCAGCACGAGCTGACACCCGACGTCACCCAGCCCCGCAATGGCGCCACCCGTCACGATCTTGGTGCTCAAAGGGTGGGTCTCTAACAGAGAAGCGTACGCGTCCCAAACGCGACGAAAACCCCAAGATTTGGCCGTTGAAGAGGTTGATGAGAATACAGCGCGATGCTGCATTCTCGTCACCGAGATAGCGACCACAGGCCACGTGCGAGATCGAAGCACCGACAGCATCGGCTCACAAAGACTACAACTTCCAGTTTGGAAGAAAGTGATAGACAACAAATATCTTTGATGGCTTCCGGATGGGGATTGGTGGATAAAATGCGGAATTTGACCCAATCCCAGTACAATTGTCAAGACTGATTGCTACAATCATGGCTGAGCAAGAGGAGGCCGCGCCCGAGATCGTGTCGGAGTTCCCGGCGCCGCCCAAGTTCTTTACTCTGTATGCGGACGGCGTGGAGAGCGGCCCGGCGCCGCCCGAGCCCATGGAGCCCACTTATCACATGTTCGGCTCGCCCTACAGCACGCAGGACGTAGTACCAGACCTGCTACCACAGCCAGGCAAGAAGCTGTATGCACCTCAAGGCGAGGACGGCGACGGCGCACCTGTGGACTACAAAGCCGAGATGAAGAAGTATTATCTGCAATATTTTGTAAATAATAACCAAGTGGAGGAGACTAATATTGTGCCTTTTAGAATTAATCGTTCGCTGCTCGCCAATTTTGTGGAGCTCGTTGACGTCCTCATCAAGAAGCCAGCCGTGTTCAAGTGAGTGCAGGTTGTTTCCAGGAGTGTAGGTCTATTGCTGACTATTGTTGCTGCCAGTGAGAAGCTGGACGACATGGAGCTGCTCTTCCTCAACATGCACAACCGCATCAATGCCTTCAGGCCCCATCAGGCACGTGAGACGGTGATTCAGATGCTTAAGACGCAAGTACAGGAGAGACGCGATGCTGCCAGGGACATCCGTCGCACCATTGACGAGTCCAGGCAAGCAGTGGAACGTGTGCATGGAGAGCTGCACGAGTCAACGGACGATGCGGCGGCTGCTGACGGAGCTTCCCCTGTTGGAGCGGATGATGATGTCAAGATGGAGAACGCTGACGGATCGGGGGCTACAGGGAATGCAGGCGACCTTGCTAGTGCAACTGCAGTGGCCAGTGCAGTGACGCTCACTCCTGCTCAACAGGAACAGGCAGAGGTCGGATGACTGGTGGTGATTTTGTCTGAAATGACCTACTAACACGTGGACTGCTGCTTGTTTGCAATTTACAGAAGGCTCGCGAGGCTCGACAAATGCAGGAACAGTTTTTCGCAGCGCTAGAGGCCGCGATGAACTGATTCCGAAGGATGCGTGGGGTCTCAGGACAATACAAAGAAGCTACACCTAAAGACGTTAATGGGACGCCTCGGCGTTCAACGCACTGCCTGCATGAGTAAATTAAATGCTGAATTCTCTGAACCTGGTCTACCCTTTGAATGATCCTCGACACGCGTTCTCGGCGCTTATAGCTTGACGTCATTATTGAACAACGAGCTGCCCGTTGGAGCCGACGATGCAACAGGAGCTGGTGGAGGTGGATGCGTAGCAGACTCTGCTGTGGCTTCAGTGGGTTGGTACTGTTGAGCCGGAACTGATGAGCTACTTGTGACGCGATTGGCACCATTCGCTGGACTGAAAACACAACAAACACCATCAGCATCTTCAACAACAGAGTCGTTAGATGACCATTTGCCTACAAACCTTTCCATCGCCGCACGGATAGCTTCGTACAACGGTGTAGCGGCTACTGGAGGTGGCTCTACGCCTCCCAACAGCTCAGGGACCGTCACAGCTTTGCCATAGAACGAGCGATTAATATCAGGCCTGGAGAGGATCACTGATCCTTCGAGCGAGATGCCCGCGTAGAGACCTTTTGAGTGCGAGTATGAGTAGCACGGCGCTACATCCATTGACGCACTAGCCTCCAGTGCTCCAGATGCCACACGACCGACAGGTCCTGCCGAAATCCCCAACTCCGCTCCAAGATTCACTTGGCCAGATGCGCAGAAAGCCTCCACGGCACGCTGCGTGTTGAGGATGATCACAAAGTCCGTGATTTCTCCTCCTATCTGTGGACCCCAGCCCACACCAGCAGTACCGATAGCCGACGGAGCTGACCACCGGCCGTCCGGTAGTCTAGCGACCACGAGACCAGTTCCCATGCGGCCCGTGAACACGAAACCCACCTTGATCACTGTCAGGAACTGCAACAACAGAGAAAACCACCGGTTAGACAGGGTGGCTGTTCCTTCCCTATAAGAGGTAGACTCGTACAGCGATTCCCTTGGCGTGAGTGAGTAGCGGTAGCGGGATAGACTGATCCTTGACAACTCCTTGGAACGTGAAATTCTTGACGCTGTACGTGGCCTTGCGGATCTCCTCGCGCAGTGTGAAGGAGTAGGGGCTGTTGAAGAACCTCTGCGGTCCGGACTCCTTGACCTCCATCTGCTGCACGGCGTGGCTCATCGTCCGACCTGGTACAGCAACAGTCAATAACCAAAACTCCACCAACCACATCATTTGTAACCGGACGTACGTAGCTCCTCTTGTTCCGGCTCAAGCCGCGCATGGCAATCATCACACACACGCTGCGGGTTGCGCGCGTTCACGGCCAGATACTTGCGCTCTGGGTTGGTGAGAATCTGGTCTTCATGGATGAGACTGCGCTGCGGTGTGCATAGCTCGCAGAACACGTGGCCACAGTAGCTGCAGACACCGGGTTAGTTGGAAAAAGCAATATACAGACAGAGAAGGCGATCAAGTAGCTCACCGGCAATGGTGCTTGCGGCGCACCCAGTCGAAGAGCAGCTGGCAACCGTAGCACACGCTCACTTCGGCGTCCGGGATCCAGCGCACAGTAGTGGGCAGCCCAGCAGGCGGGTTCGACTGCCGGCCCTGATCCATTATCAAGGTAGCAGGGATCTTGAACGGTTCCGGTCTGACAAGCTTGACGTCCCTTTGTTTTTTTGCTTAATTCGCATTCGCACTTAATCATGATCTTACAAAAGGCAAGTAATAATTTGTCTGTGACGTGGTACAATACTGCATCAAGGCCAAGCAAAGCTCCACGTTTTCTTACGAGTTTTCTGCTCCTATGCGTGGTGCAGTCACCGCAGAGCCGCAACACTTGTTTACTTAAAAAAAAAATAACGATAAAATAAAGGGATATTCCTGCCTCCTTGTGGCTGGCGCTGCTTCCGGCGACTCTGCTTCGCGACAGCACTTGACGTGGACTCTGTCGACAATGCGGAACAGTGATCCCTGTCCGGAAGGAATAGACTGACTTGTTGTATCGACGCTACTGACTGCTGTCTGGAGACACGCGCGGCTCGAAGCCTCTGTTAGTAGATGGCGACGACGGGCTAATCGTGGCTGTTGAGCACTTGCCTAGGCCCATCAGTAGCTCCGCCGATTGGTGGTCAGGGTGGTCATGGGCGTGCCGCGCTGTATCCCGATCCAAGTGCATGTGCTTACTTACTGCTACATGTAAGAATCAACACAAACCCAATCCCACCCTTCAAATCAAAACCAACCACAAACAGCATCATGTACTGGAAGCGCACCCACCGGACTCCTCTGTGTTGTCGTCAGGAGGTGCAAAACTGCTGTGTGGTCGTTTACGTCCATTTATTGCGTGCGTGTCTTGCGAACGCTGCTCAGAATCTCCACTCAATACATTAAACAACGGCAACGAAACTCCGTCAAATAGCAGCAAAGCACTTACCGTGTCTTGCGTCCTCCTCCTTGATAATTTGAAGCAGTGGGTCCTTATTACTTGCCGGACTGGGGCCTCCATTGGCTACCTTAAGTATCTTGGTACCTCCTCCTACTCCACTGTGGCCCTGCAATTGCAGTGCCGACGGTGGCTGTGGAGTTGGTCGCAGCTCTCCATCACCTGCCTCTTGGTACGCCGTACTCAGCAGCGCCACCACGAACTTATTGTGCAGGTCTGCAGCCAAAAAAATAATAGCTGCGATATTAGCGCCTACAACACTATCAAATTAGCAACAATTTCCACACGTTTATCGGGGCCCAGCAGCTCCTCCGCCAGCGCATGGAACTCCTCGAGCGAGAGCTTGGCCGCCAGGTAGAGCTGAAACGATCCCCAGTATCGCTTCCACGAGTCGCGGTGACGACGCTGGAGGCGGTGGAATAGCTGTAGCTTAAGCTTCTGCACGTTGGACAGCGGCGTCGGCGACTCCACCTGCGGCTCGGCCATGCTTCAGATATCAACTGTCCTCTGTAGATTCTAACTTACAACAGCGTTCCACAATTCGAAGCGGACCAATAGAAACGCATCGAGAGTTCTACATTCATTGTGTGTGATTGATGTGGCGCAACAATTCAACCAGTGTGCACCACACAATACAAGAGTGAAGGTCTCTCCTCATCGAGAGTGTCATGAATGCCGCGCTCATGGAGGAACGTCTGCGCGCCTTCTACGCCAAGCACAATCCGGGCAATGATCAAAACATGTGCGTCCATATGCCCTATCGGTCGTTTTCCTAGTGATATCATTATTTTCCCTCGTGGCGTCGTGCAGCGCTCTTTACATCCATTCAATGCTGACCTATTTCCCTACTATTTCATCGCCGCAGCGCCGAGATCGTGCGCAAATTCGCTGGTCGTGAGCGCCAATTGTGCGCGAAACTCTTTAAGAAGTATGGAGAAGCTCCAGACTTTACGTCTGCCGACGACACCGTAAAAGAAAGGGACGTAACAAGGATACCATACCCCAACGCCACATACGAGAGGGATTTCAAGGCGTACAAGCTACCTAAAGTCACTGACAGTCCGCTGGACTTTCGCTCAGCTCAATTCGATGCTCTCAAGGCTCTCCAGACACCTAAAGATCAGCTGAAGCTGCCAGTGGCCACTGCTCATCCACTGGACAATATCCAAAAATGCCGACACCTGGTACGTCTAGCAAGGACTTGAAAGAGCTCTGGGCTATAGGCTAAGTGAACTTGTGATTCCATAGCTACCAGAGTTAGATGTGAACAGACAGACGCTCGTCGTTAGACCAAAGAAACCGAGTCCATCAGCAGCTGACGCCAAAGCTGCGGTGGTGAAGAAGGCCCCGGCTCCTGCTACACCGTCGCTGTTTGAACAACTTGCAGGTACTTACTCTGCCGACTGGTTGTCTTTGTATCTGAGGTGTGTTTAATGAGTTTATGTGTGGTGTGTGGTGGCAGACACTTACTTGGAAGGGCCTTTTCGAGTTCTTCGTCGTTGCTTCCTGGAACGAATGCGAGTCTTCGTAGTTATTCGTCGAGTTAACAGCGTGCGTGGGACGTGCTCAGGGTTTTTGAAGGCCTTTGATAAGCACATGAATCTCGTGCTATTGGACGTCACTCAAGACTTCATCCCGCTCAATACTCATGAGAGGCTGCTGCGAGAGGTGAGAGAGGATAAACGCATCGCGAGTGACGCTGTGTTCTCTGCTGCAGACTCGAGACGTAATCGTCGAGTACTTGCTAGTGCTGGTGGAACTCGACGTGAGTACGTGAAGCAGCTTTTCATTCGTGGTGACAATGTGGTATCTGTCAGTGCAGTTGTGGGCAATACAACGGACACTCGACCGCGAAATACTGCTAGACTAAACAACCAACGCAAGCCCAGGTCCTAGCCCGGCATTCAAGGTAATGATTGAATCACGAATGCTGAATTTTAGATGAAATTCGGTATTATTATGGTGTTCCAATGCTCTACCAGCGTCTGGAAGGTGAAGACAGCACTAGTTCAGGACATTGCAGCAGCATCCTTCAACCGAAGGCGCTTCGGAGAGGTCGTGGAGTCTCTCGCTCTATAGATCTTCTGGCTCGTCATCTTGGTGGGCTTTCAGCATCTTGCGGTTGTACGCTACCGTTCCGAGCACCAGTGCCAGCATGAAGATGAAGAACACGTAGAACACGAAGAACACCCAGAGTGCCGTGTTGGTGTCGTCTGTCTGCAGTACCGAGCGTGTGCACAGTGCGAAGAGTGCGCCCAGCAGAGCGTAGACCCCCATGAGACAGATGGGGATGATTATCAGATCCTGCCAGGAGTTACCGCAGCAGAGTGGCCGATACTCGTTTTTCTTGCTTGAGGTCTTTTGTGGCTTGATGGCGGCGACGGCCACATCGTCTGCAGATACGGGGACCTCCGCATGCTGAGCCTGAGCGTCCGCGTGCTGAGATTCCGTCATTGTTTTTGGGTCGTCTGCTTCAACTTTGGGTGTCTTGTCTTGTAGTGGTTATTGGTGCATGCGGCGCTTCAATCGGAAGCGAAACCCCTCAAACGAGCACATAAAGCATTGTAGAGCTTGCTATCGCCGCCAAAAATACCGAGTATATGGACGGGTGTGGTCATAGCAGTTTTGGTTGGTATACAAGTTGATTGTCTGGAAAGTACTTTCCGAGCGAAGTACGCTGACCGAAAGCGTTGCAGTGACAACTAAAGCGTCTCACGGGCTCACTGCACAGAAGACACTATTTTGGTCTGATCACTCACGTTGATTTCCTGTATTGTTTGAATCCCTCTCCAATACAGTTCCGTTGAGAACTCATGGAGGGCATAGTGCTGGTGGAAATGTCCTCAGGTGCTTTACACTACACCAAATCTTTTTCTGATGAGTTTGATGCGAGGCATCCAAAAACCGAGCGTCTCAACTTCGGTGCACTCATTTTCGCACTGCAAAACTTCGCAGGTAAAACTGCTTCGCTTCTTCTGACTATTTTTTTTTACTTTATAGAACTGATATTCAATGCGTTACCCTATGGCGAATCTCCTTCCAGGCAGCAGCATTCGATCTATGGAGAGCAGTGACGGGCTTGATGCAGCAAAAGGCCTGGAGAGAAGTAATGTCGCTGAGATTGTTATGTACACCACTCCTCTCGAAAATATGGTGCTCGCAACCACTCCATCCAGTAAACTTCTTGTGGTATGGTGTTGCTTCTTTCGTACATGTAAACATATTTCCTAACACTAAAAGACTGTAGGTGCTATTCACAACACCGGATTTTGACGTGGACGTCGCCAAGTAAGTTTCGTAAGCACATGTTGTCGGATTCATTGATCTTACATCTTCTCACTGTTGCTAATTGTTGTCTAACCGTAGGTGGGTGGTTCGTCGTGTGGCTTTCAATTACGATATCTGTGATAACACGGAGATGACAGCACTTAATCAAGTGGTAAGCTGGATCTGTTGCTGTGACTATCAACAACAAATGATTTGTAGTTGCTCATCAGTCCTGTTTCCATGCAATTGTAGCCTCGTCGATTTCGTCGTGCGTTCTCTCAAGCAGTTGACGATACAGTTGAAAGGGAACTCATTCGTCTTTGTGAGAGCACATTCATTCCTAATGAAGGGGATTCTCCTGCAGATACGGTGGGCGATGACGAGTCATTCCTCTTTTTCTGCTACTCGCCGCGTTTGAGTGATTCCGGACGTTATAATGGCAGTGATATTGAATCTGGTTCGAAATCCCCAAGTGGAGACGGATGCCGTATTGCAGTCGGGGCAGATACTCCAACGATATCGAAGAAACTCAACATTCGAAACATGGTGACATCTACCCTAGCAATTTTTGGCGCTCCAACTAAACGTGAGCTTAATATGAAGAAGAAATTGGAGAAGAAAAGTGGATGGAGATCGAGAAATGCAGTCATAGATCACTCAGAGCCGTACGAATTTCAGCGAGTAATCGAGATTCATTATCGGGAAAGAAAGGCAGCAGTGATGGATCCTCTCCGAGCAGAGAAAGCTTGCGATATCGTGGACACTCTTCTTCCTTTAGCGGAGATAATGAGCCAGTCATTGTTCTCTTCAGACATGGCTCGTTCTCAAGTGACTCATCAACGATCGCTCAACCAATTCATCTGGACAAATTTCCCTGCTTCATTTCCAGCAAAAGAGAAGCAAGCAGGAACTAACGTGGTTGCATGGGTGTGTGGATCTTGTATTATTTTCTACCCGATGACATCGGTATCAATGAATCTCGAGACTCATCGCCGTGTACGATTTGCTGTCACTGCGCTGTTTAATGTTCTAGAACCTCTGCTCAAAGCAAAAACGAAGATACTCGTATAGCATCGCCAAAACTCGGGAGGTGCTTTGCTATCCTATACTACCGTTTCCACCAAGTTGTTAGCAGCAGCAACCTGAGCAATCTCGAGACAAAAGGCTACAAATTCTTCTTCACTGATACCACGTGGGTCCATGGGTTCAAATTTTATAAATGCCGTCATGAAAAGCTCTTGGTGTAGCATCGGCTGAAGTGCACTTGAGCCTTCTACCAGTGCGCGTAGCTCCTTGGATACCGCTCCCGATCCAGAAGGACTATCGGGTGTGGTTGCAGCCGAATTGTACAAGGTCCGCTGAACTTCGGCGACATCTACGACGCCATTACCGTCACCGTCCAGCAGTGCGAAGACGCGTCGGATGGTTCGAGCTTCAGTGTCTCCCGCCGACGACTGCGAACGTCCATTCTGACGGTTGTTCTTGAAATCTTTCGCCGTCTCACTACGCTCAGTACTAACGACATCAGGCTGGATGAGACCATCCGACATCAGACGGAGATACGAGTCCTCGCATCTCGCCAGGAATTCATCCCAGGACAGCTCGTGGCTGCTATTGGCGTCGTCCATATTAGGACTGAGTGGGTCATTCACAGTACGATTGGAAAATAGCGCTTCCAGACGCGTACGCTGTTTGAGAAGAATGCTAAGCAGCGGTGAAGTCTTGGCGAGTGCGTGTATTTCTGCGTCTCGCTGAAGAGCCCACCTCATCTCGTCCTGGTTCACGGTGCCACTTCCATCCAAGTCCATAAGTGAAAAGAGCTGTGACAAGACTTTGTGCTCGTGTCGTTTGAACTGGGCGTGGAGGCTGTCGTCCTCAGTTTTGACTTCTTCACATTCGCGAGCTGAGTCAGCGCCATTTCTGTTGTTCGATGACTGCGAGACAGGACTCGAAACTTTCGGATACATTCGAGCTTTGGCCTTTGCCTTCTGCCGCTGACGGAGTTTTGGCGAGTCTGTTAGCTTCTGCTTGGTAAGAGACGGGAGTTGGTTTAGCTTGCGATGGTCTCCACTTAGAATTTCTCGAGTAGGGCTTATCTGTAAGCACAACTCATGTTAGCCAGAACTTGAACACTCAACGGAGGAGAAGTCTTGCTTACCTGATTTGGTTTGTAAGGAACCCCGTTAAATCGCGCAGGAATGTGTGGATCAGGCGTCTGTATGCGATGAATAGCAAGTTAAACCAGAATTTTTATAGCAGATAACAAAGCAAATGCTTACTTGAGAGCGGCGGTAGTTGACCGACGATCCCAGTATCGCTCCATCGTCTTGACTTTTATCTCCAATACGGTCATCCAGATATTCGAATCCACTCAGTGAATCATTGCTGGACAAGAATTCCAGTGTTTGATTCTTCAAGAGAGCTGCAGCCGTGTCTTCGTCGAATGCACACTCTGGAGAAGCCTTTGTGATCTCATAGCGAGTGCCGCTTGTGCCGCGAGCAGTCTGACAGTGGATCGTCAAGACCGATCTGAGTCCGTAGCGTAGATCCCCGTGCTCCAATCGATCGCGAAATACCAAGTCATCTAGCGGGTATGGTGTTGCTGAAACAGCCGATTCAGGATACGGACGAACAACTTGATGTCGTCGCCGCTTGACAGGTGATGAGGATGCGTTCAGACTCTCTTGTTGCTGTTTGGTTGGCCATCGATAGTCGAGTAATTCATCAACAGATACGCACTGCTGGTAGAACCAACGGAGGTATCTTTCCTGCATACGCTGCTCCTGTCCGCCACGTGCTGCAAGTTCGTTTGTAGCATTTTGTAGCACCTCAGCTTCCCACGTCTCATTGAGTGCTTGTTCAAGCACGTTCTTCGCAAAACGGCGACTGGCTGCCTCCTCCTGAGCCATAGCAATATTGGCAGCAAGTTGCCTAGTCTCCTCTGCTTGGATACCCCAGAAAATGTCTCCATTCTGACACTGTTGGGTCTCTTCGCGGTGCATTGCAATACGAGCATTGTGCTCTTTCTGTTGCTCCCGCTCCAAGCGCTCTGGATCTACTTCCTCGTCTTCGAAGTCGAGATAATCCAGCGATAAATGAATATCGTTTGAATGTTGGGGATAAGACGAGAGATCTTGGTCATTCAATGTCTTAATCCTCTCTTCCTCGGCATGTTTCTGCAACAACTCACGCTCGTAATTGTCTAGTCCCCAGAATCGGTCGCCACTTTCGATCTGTAGTAGCTCCTGAAGGCGCATCTCACGACAGCAAATAGTTTCGCGCTCAAATTCGTCTTGAATCGAGTGAGAATGTGCTCGCCGTTCATGAACTTGCTTACGAGCTATGCGTCCACGTGATAGCGACTGTATCGAAATTGCAGCAGCCATTTTGCGATCTTCCAAAGAGGACACGAATGTTTCAGGGGGATCCCAGCGAGTTTCGCTGGTGCTTGGGCTGTAGTAATACTGCTGTTGCGTCGTGGGGTCAAACACTTCGACCCACTGCGATTCGTTGTTTTGTAAACCTAGATCTTCCGTACTTGATGGAACTGCGTCAGTGTTGACGTTGTCGTTCACCTCTGTGTATTCGTCTAGACTACTGATCTTGTTATCAATGTTGGTATCTTCTGATTGTTCCTTCATTTTCTGCTGTCGCATCGCTGATACTCTCGCTCGAGCTTGCTGCGACCTAGTAGCACTCTGCAACGACACCACCGCGCTCAATACTGCATCACTATCACACTTTCGAACCAGATTTGTACCTTCCAGGGGAGGTTCCCAACGAGTTTCACCCGATTGTGTCGCAAAGTAATATAAGGTTTGATGGTCTTGGTCGTACAGCTCCAACCATTGCGTGGCTTGACAAGATTCGTCGGCCACAGCGTCTTGCGCAGCGGTGACGGCTTCGTTAGCCGAGAACTCGGCTGCAGTGGATTCTATAACGCTATCAACCTGCCACGCACCAGCCTGGTCTTGCTCAAAATCGGATCCTGGCTTGGTCCACGACGTCTCGCCAGTAACAGTGTTGGTAAAGTACCTCTCACCATCATCGCTAAAGCACTCGACCCAATTAGATGCTTGGTCGTGTTCCCCCGCTTGGTCTTGAGGCTCATCCTCTTCCCATGTAGCAGACTGCACCACTTCTTCCTCCATTTTCGAGTCTCTACGACAATATGTTGAAGCTGTTTTGTGACTCTTCAAGAAATCGTTAAGGAAAACAACTTGCAAAGTCAATTTCATTTTTCACGTTAGCCTTCTCATTCCCCTGAATTGACCTCAAGAACTTGATCCTGATGCAAATAACTTGGCAGCGTCTACTTCTGCTCCATTCAGTTGACATTACTAGCTGCAAATCCTGCACCAAACAAGAAACAACTCAAAAAATCATGAAAGCGTCGACGTACCAGCTCGGTCGCTCGCAGCACCAACTTACACGTAGAACATGCAATTCAGCATGTTCTTGTGCAAGCCAGCGAAATCGAAGCTGGATGAACTCGAAAAGTTGGTGCTCATCGACGCCGTGTCGGATGATCCTTCGTACAGGAAGAACCGAGCGCGTCCAGCAGCCAAATGCGCGTAGTAAGCAGGAGTCGCGAACGACACCGAGCGAGTGCACCGCACAAACGTGTATCCGAGATGATACGTGAGTCTCTGCAGCTCGTCGGCCGTCATCTTGTTCTCATCATGCAGCACCGTGTAGTGGCACGGAACACTGGTGCCTTGGATACCGCTGTGTCCATACAAGAAGAAGTCGAACCTGTGCGGACTCACGACATCCGTGTCGAGCACCGTACCCGGCACCACGTTGCCCTTGCGGTCGCCGTCTCGAGTATTAATCGGGAAAGTGCGCGTGTGGTGGCGCTTATTGACAACCACGAAGGTCACCGGTGGATTGTAGTCGTCCGACAACATCTTGAACGTTTTACGTAGCGCTCGCATTTCGGTCTGCAGGATATCATAGAAGCGCCCTTCGCTCACTCCATTTCGATAGTAGATGACATGCTCGGGTTGCCGATCCGTGTTCCGGTAGAACGCCAGGAAGAGATCGCGCAGCATGTGCGGCAATTGTTGAATGTCGTTCGCTGCTTTTTGCGCAGCCACACGCCCAATGTACTTGGCCGAGTATGCGTCCATCGAAGCGACAACAGACGCAATTGAAGGTCGAGAACCCATTCCGGAGCGAGGATGCTCGACGTCAGCGCCGATCACAATCGTAGGACACGTACTGATCAGGGGTAGAAGCTCCCGAAGCACGGAGTTCTTGCCACTCAGCTTCATGTTTATCTTCAAACACACATTCGCACACACTTGCGGGTTGGCTTTTCGCAGATTTGTAGCGACGATGCATTGGCTTGGGATCCCCAGCACTGTGTCCGACATGCGCTTGATGCGACCATAAGAGACGGAGCCCTTGTCTTGCTTAATCACCATAATGAGCTGAGGAGTGCCGTTGCCACGGTTCTCCAGCTCTCGGAAGCAGGACTTCATGAGATCCTCCACTTCTGCCCGTTGATTCGAGCGGTCAATCACCAGTGGTCTTCGGCACTCCATTGATATCCCGCATTTACTCGCAGTATCCACCATGATTCCAATGAAGTTGTTCACATCTCGAGGACTCACGTTGGCGTCTACAACCACACCCCAGTTACGTAGTACAGCGCCGTTCACGAACTTTTTGTCTCTCAAGTTCCACTGCCCACCCGATGGACGCTCAGAAACATTCGCGTACTGGACATCAGGAGGGTCGAGCACCCGCACCTCCGTCGTCTCCGGTTGCTGGTCGACCTTCAAGCCAAAGGCAGCCAGGTACGGGTCGTTCTCGAATCCAGCTTGATGCATCTGGCTGAGGATGTTCTCTCGACGCTGGTGTGGGGGCTGGCTGGTCTGGCGAATAATCTCCGCCGTGTCCAGGTCGTTGATATTCGGACAGCGCTGTCCTGGCGCCACTTCGCATAACTCGATGGGTAACCAGTTCTCCCTTCCAGCTTTCTTACTACCCACGTTCACGAGCGGCAGATTCGGGTACCGGAGTCGTGCATTGTACTTCTTGTAGAAGTATTCAGCCACACTCATCGTCTCGCCCTTGATGTCCACCATAGTCCGGTCAGCGCGATCAGGACTGACACCGAAGATGGCGCGCTTCCGGTCTTTGCGGTGCGTTGGGGCCACTTCAACTTTACGCAGAGCCCGCGCTAAGTTCCGCATATCCCGCTCTGAGAGATTGTGTACGTCTTCAGGAGAACGAACGTTTAGAGCCGAAATTGCCAGCTTCATGAGCTCGCAAGGCTCATAGAACACGGTAGCAGCCTGGTCGATATTCATCAGCAGCGTCTTCTCAGCCACGCGAATGGCTTGGTGGTATCCCCAGCATAACTCTTTACCTCCTTTGAGCTCGTGTGTTTTCTTCATAGCGAAGAAGTTGCGTCCAACGGAGACAAGACGCTGAGCTCCAAGGTGACGCGCAACCACGTCCAGCGCCTGGAGAACGGGCATCACGTTCTCGTCCGGGTTTCTGTAGTGTTCCTCAAGACTTCGAAGAGCAATCGTCTCGGCTAGCTTGACCTTAACAACGAATGTAGGTGGTCCTCGACGATGAAAACCTCCACCTTTCTGCTGCTCAGAGCTTGAGCCGTCCGGGTTCACGTCAGGAAAGTCTCTAGCGTTCCACTTGAACTTCTGCGGCGAGAACAGAGCCGACATGCCGTCATGCACGACACGAACGCCGCCGAACTCGGCTTCGTACTGATGTAGAGCCGCGTTGATCACTTTGCGTACCAGTGTTCGAGGCAGAAGCCGCACAGGTTGTGGCGGCTGTGGCTTCTCGCCCTTCATGGGCGACATACTCTGATCGGGAGGAGGTGAACGCACGACGTCGACGTGATATTTGAACACCTCAACAGGAGCGTTATCCAGCGAGATACTAAAGTAGTTGGCGTTCATCTTCATCACTCTACCATCTTTACCGAATCCAGGACGTCGACAGATCTGCGTCTCCTTCTGCAGGTCGGGATCGTCCGGGTTGATCTTCAACGGAGGAGCACGGCCGGTCCACAGGTCTTTAATCCGTGGGTCCATGATTGCATCGCCTATCTTCTCGTAGCCACACCCACAAACATCTCCAACACCTTGACCTTGTTCTGCGCGTCCACGGCCACTGCCGTAGCCGCGACTTGGACGAGTGTTGGAGTCACCGCCGTAACCTCGTTCACTTTGGCTTTGACTGCTTCGAGAATTGTCTTCATAGCGTCTGCCACCGCGAGATAGGTCTTCGTATCTGCTACTTTGAGTGTTGTTGAACCCACGACTTTCGTGCGAGCTGGAACGACCTTGATCGTATCGGCGTGATGCACTTCCAGAAGACGCCGTGTCGTAGCTGCCCCGTCTTGATCCACTGCCATAGTCTTGATTGCTGTAGTTTCGAGTCGAAGCTTGAGTATCGTAGTTGTAGTTCTGGCGAGAACGGTCGACTTCACCATTGCCGTAGCGTTGAGTTCTGGTTTCACGGCTGCCATTGCTGTAGCTTCGGTCATCGTAGCCTCTGGCACGAGTATCGTTGTGTCTCCCTCCACTACGATCACCATACCCGTGCTCCGTGTAGTTACCGTTGTAGGTAGAACCTTGACTGCGATAGTCGTATCCGGTGTTGTAGCCACCATTGCCTGAGGTATAGCGCCCTCCCCGTTGCGAGCCGTAGTCACGAGAGCTGGACTCACCCCCGTAGCTTCCTCGACGACTATAGTCGTCATAGCCAGACGACCGCGAGCCATTGTAGCTTCCGCTGCCACTGCCGCGAGAATCGTAGTCACGCTGATCGTATCCCATTGCGTCTCGCTTGACTCGTTCGGAAATGGCAAGACTCGAATGGGTGGACTACAAAGCACTTGAACTGCAATGAGGTCGACAAGTAAAGCACTTCTAACGGCCTTGAAGCCGAGTTTTGTTACAACCACTGCGCACTCTCTCAGTCGACTTGTCCCGAATACTCCCGATTCACCGAAAGAAATCACCTTATCGAGACACGACGACGTTGTGAGATCAGCATTCTGCTGCTGCAAGCAAGTGCAAAAGTGACCGGCAACTGCCGTTTAGGTCAGGAAGCATGCGGAAGTCTTGCAATTCGGAACCAACTCGCTACGACGTCTCAAGTTCTGCTGAATGATATAGGGCTCGACAGGTCTAGCTTGCGTGAAGATAACATCGTATCTATTGCAGCAGTTCTGCTTTCCCTGTTGGAGACAAGCAGGAACAAGAGCTTTGATATCCAAACTACTGCGATGGACATGGCATCTTCATCAGGCAGTCATTCGGCTCAGTACGAACACTCCAAAACCGTCGCTGCCTGATAAAGTTTGTGCGTCACACTCGCATTATCTAAAGTGTAGCGTAGGAGATGTGCTGCCCATAACGAATTCGAGGTCGCTCGTCTTGTCGCTGTGGCACTAAAACCACTTAGCGCAAGGTGAATAACATGCATTGGATTCTCTTGTGGCTGATTGTCCTCCTTGTCACGTTCTTCTTGGCTCCACAAGGCCTTTGAATGGATGAATATCTTCCACCCTCGATGGTAGTCCTCCCTCTTCGATTTCCAATGGTCTCCGCTACGAGAATCACGAGATGAAGGCTTCTCTAGTAATGCCCTCTCAGTTTGTGCACCAACTACTGTCCATGCACTCATTAAATGATGTCTTCGTCCATTGATCCTCAGCGGCAAAGCAAAGACACGGCAATCAAGGATATATGAAGCGGCCCATCTCGCTTACACTGCGCTTCCACATAGCGCCTCAAAGAGCTGCTCGAAGTGCAGAGCTTCAATGGGATGACACTTTCATTAGGTGTCACGGCATTCTTACCAAAATCGCGTCTCCAACTTCATAATTCACCGCTTCATGAAGAGTTTGTCGGACTTTCACATGATCAAGCTCGAAAAAGGTGCTGCTTATGCTACCACGAACATCTAACGATCACTATCCGAGGAGCAGCCGCCTTTGTTTCCACTGCATGTATTTGCCAGCTCGTACCCATCGATTCCAGCGTAACAACACGAGAGCTTCCACCATCAGCTACTACAGACACTTGTAGCGTGTGAACGCAGCAACGGCTGCAGTCCATATCACGGGCAATCCACTAGAAAAATGTGCAGAGAGATTCAGAATTGACAGGACAACGTTACCACTCAATTCCACACAACACAGGCTCTTCTGCGATGGTGTTTACAATGAACCTTTTTGCACGTACGAAGTCATCTCCCTTCTCGAAGCACTCGGATCCGTATTTGTCGACTCAACCGAGATACTGATACTTCGTAGGGCAGGACTTAGCGGCGACGAAGCAACAATACAAACTTCAAAACTGAGAGCGTTGCTTACCGAGCCGCCATATCGAAAATGCGTCACTGCTCTTGGCTGGCACGGGTTAGAATGCAATGTGCAGCACTTTGCTGTTACTCTGGATGACCGGCCCTTTCTTTTTCTCTGCAATTCTTCTTCTCCTCAGCCAGAAATCTCCTTCATCAAAACTTACGGTAGTTACGTGTAGAACATGCGGTTGAGGACATTCGAGTGCACCTCGGCGAACTCAAAGTTCGACGTGTTCGAGATGTACGAGCCTACAGTGGACGCACCGTCCGAGCCCTCGTTCAAGTAGAAGCGAGCTCGAGCAGCGGCCAAGTGCGCGTAGTATACGGGCGTCACGAAAGACACCGAGCGCGTGCATCGAGAGAACGTGTACCCCAAGTGGTACGTGAGGCGCTGAATGTCCTCGGCAGACATCTTGTTTTCATCGTGCAGCACAGTGTAGTGTCCAGGAACAGTGGTGCCTTGAATGCCGCTGTGGCCGTACAGGAAAAAGTCGAAACGATGCGGGTTCGCAATGCTCGTGTCGATCACAGTACCAGGCATCACGTTGCCCTTACGATCGGCATCACGAGGGTTCACCGTGAATGCTCGTAGATGGTGACGTTTGTTCACAACAACGAACGTCACGGGCGGGTTATAGTCCTCGGAGATCATCTTAAACGCTTTCCGTAGTGCACGCATCTCCGTCTGCAGGATGTCAAACATCTGGCCTTCACTCACGCCGTCACGGTAGTAGACCACGCGCTCCGGTTTGCGCTTCGTGTTCTCGTAGTAAGCCAAGAAGAGCTCACGCAGCATGTTGGGTAGTTGCTGGATGTCACTCGAAGCCTTCTGCGCTGCCACACGAGCAGCATACTGAGCAGAGTAGCGATCCATAGAGGCCACAACGGCAGCGATCGATGGTCGACCACCCATACCAGAGCGTGGGTGCTCCACATCAGCACCGATGATAATTGTAGGCTCACTGCTGATCAGCGGGAGCGGGTCGCGCAGTATTGCGTTTTTACCATTGAGTTTCATGTTGATCTTCAGACAAACATTGGCGCAGAACTGCGGGTTGGCTCGAGGAAGATTCTGCGATGCAATGCACTGCGATGGCAGACCGAGAACCGTGTCGGACATGCGCTTCACGTCTCCATACACTGGGGAGTTCTTAGCCGGCAAAATGACCAACAGGAACTGCGGAGGGCCCAAACTGCGTCGCTCAAGTTCTTGGTGGCACATCTTCATCAGTTCTTCGACTTGGGCTCCACGGTACTGGTCCTGATGGATCAAAACAGGTCTTTTGTCCTCGAATGGAAGTCCACGCTGGTCACCTAAGTCCGTCAACTTGCTGACAAAGTTCTGAGCGACGCGTTCACTCACGTTAGCTGCAACAATCACCCCCCAGTTACGAACCGGAACTCCCTCCACGAACTTCTTCCCATTGAGACTCCACTGACCACCATACGGACGCTCCGACACGTTCTGGTACTGGACGTCAGGGGCGTCCATGACACGAGCCTCGGCTGGCTGGAGACGCTGATCCACCTTAATACCAAACGCAGCAAGGAACGGGTCGTTCTCAAAGCCTGCCTGACGAATCTGCTCTATGATGTTCTCTTGGCGGTTGCGTGGAGGCTGGCTGGTCTGGCGAATGATCTCAGCAGTATCGAGATCGTTGATATTAGCGCAACGCTGTCCTGGAGCCACCTCGCAAACCTCAATAGGTAGCCAATTTTCCTTGCCTGGACGCTTGCTGCCCACGTTCACCAACGGCAGGTTCGGATAACGCAGCTGCATGTTGTACTTACCACTGAAGTACGCAGCAACCGACATGTTCTCACCCTTGATGTTTACCATAGTCATGTTGGCGGGTTGAGCACTAACTCCGAAAATCGCGCGCTTTCGGTCCTTGCGGTGTGTAGGCACCACCTCAATCTTGCGTAGTGCACGAGCCAGGGACTTCATATCTCGTTCTGTGAGGTCTCGCACGTCTTCGGGGCCCCGTACACGCAGCGCTGCCACTGCAAGTTGCATCAGAGGACCAGGCGAGTAGAACACCGTAGCCGCTTGGTCGACATTCATCAACAGCTTATTGTCGGCCAGACGAAGCGCTTGGTGGTAGCCCCAGCAGAGCTCCTTCCCACCCTTGAGCGTGTGCGTCTTCTTCATAGTGAAGAAGTTGCGTCCTACAGCGATCAGACGTTGAGCTCCAAGGTGGCGAGCCACCACATCGAGAGCCTGGAGAACTGGCATAACGTTCACGTCCGAGTTAGAGTAGTGATCCTTCAAGCTCGAGGTGGAGATTGTCTCGACCAGCTTCATCTTGACAACGAAAGTGCGTGGGCCTCTGAAGCCGCGACGCTGAGCACCGTCACCACTCGCAGACTGCGGAGGAGCCACTGGAGCTGCGCTGGGGCCGTCCGGATTAACGTCTGTGAAGTCCTTGGCATGCCACGGCAGCAACGCCGGTGAATACAGCGCAGCCATACCGTCATGAACCACACGGAGACCGCCGAACTCCGATTCATATTGACGAAGCGCAGCGTTAATCACGTTACGCACAAGCGAGCGAGGCAGAGGACGCTCCGGACGTGCCTCTCGCTTAGGTGGTGCATCTGCTGACGCATCAGTCATCTCCACATCCTTGACGTCCTTGCCTTCCTGTTTTGGTTCGTCACCCATGCTTTCATCCTTCTGATCGGGAGCTGAAGGACCATACTTGCAGTCTGCTTGAAGATCGGGCGAGCGCTCCACAGTCACGTGGTACTTGAAAATCTCCGAAGGCGCCGAGTCGAGCGAAACACCGAAGTAATTGACGTTCAACTGCGTCGTCTTGCCGCTTTGAGTGATGCCTGGACGGCGGCAAATCTGCACCTCTTGCTGTAGATCGGCGTCGTCAGCACGGACCTCACGAACACCGGCTCGGCCGCTCCATTCTTCTTGAATACGCGGGTCAGCGATCGGGTTTCCAATCTGCTCGTAGCCAGTGCCGGAGATGACGCCTGCACCGGGTCCTTCTTGTCCTCGTGAGCCGCCACCTCCACGACCACCACCTCGGCCTCTTCCTCCGAATCCACCACGGTCTCGATCACCTCCATGGCCTCGATCTCCACCACCTCCATAGCCACGATCTCCTCCACGACGGTCGTCGCCCCCATGTTCTCCTTGTCGACCGTATCCACGGTCATCTCGTCCGTGATTGCCGCCAGTACCTGTACCGTGGCCACGGTCATGCCCACTGCCACCATATCCACGATCATCTCGTCCTCCTCCGCCGTAACCGCGATCTCCTGCACGGTCATCTCGGCCACCGTATCCGCGGTCTCCCTGTCCGCCTACACTTGCACTGCCGCCGTAACCACGGTCGTCTCGGCAACCGTACCCTCCACGTGAGCGGTCATCGTAACCTGCCCCAGAATAACCACGGGACCGGTCGTCATAGCCTCCACTTCCACTACTGTAGCTGCTTCCTGCTCGATTCTGGTCGTATCCACCTCGACTGTCGTAACCCGACGAGCCACCGTAGCCTCCATGAGAAGAGGAGCCTCCGTAACCTCCTCGGTCATCGTACCCGGCAGCTCCATAGCCGCCATGAGACCCTCCTCGTCCGCGATCATCATAACCACCGGAGCTGTAATCCCCTCGATTACCTTCGTACCCACTTGATCCAGAGCCGTAACCCTGTCCACCACCGCGATTGTAGTCGTCGTAACCCGACGAGGATCTGCCGTATTCACTGGCACGAGAGTCGTAACCCCCACGCTGGTCGTATCCGCGTTGATCATATCCTCCGCGTTGATTGTGACCGTGTTGCCCATGTTGGTCGTACCCTCTTCGCTGGTCGTACCCTCCCCGTTGATCGTAACCTCCACGCTGATCGTAACTTCCGCGCTGGTCGCCGTAGCCGCCTCCGCTGCTGCTAGGGCGATTGGGATCATCGTAGCCACGGCCGCGCTGGTCGTAGCCGCCATAAAATCCTCCCCCGTGGTAGCTCATTGTCGCTCGGATTCTTCCTTTCTGAGTCTGAGCTTCAATCCAGAGGATCGCGTATCCAACCGCGATCCACAATCGGATTGACTGGTTTTCAGTAAAGAATCTGTAGTGACTAGACACTATTTTGAGGGAATAAGATTATCAGATATCTTCAAGGTTACTTCGAAGTATTCGAATTTTTATGTGCCCTTCAGCTTCCTGACTACACTGCTACAGTTGAGTGGGCCAAAATGTCCACTGGTACGCTAAACAAGGGATTCACTCTATTTGTTCGTGAACTTTGCCTTGCTGTCCTCGCCCGTAAGCTGCAACACCTTGTACGGGATATTCGTCTCATCGAGCTCCTTGGCGATACCCAGTTCAGCTCGTAACGTGTACTGCGAAATATAGTCCCAAGTATCGAAATGCTTTTGCATTTCAGGATCTGGATCCGCGTACCAGTCGTCTGTGAGATGCCAAGTAGCAACAAATACATTAGTAAACTAGAAGGTCTTGGTAGTCTTCCCCTCATAAAGCAAATACTTACGTCGAATGAAGTCCTTGTCTCGCATATCGAAGTGTGACATCATGTGCTCGTACGAATTGTAAATCTTCTTGTCACTCAGCAGCGGCAGTGCAGGTTTGAACTTGGGATCAATGTGCTTCATCATGAGCTTTTCCCAGTCAACGGTTTCGAAGAACGGGTGCTCCATGAATTCAGAGAAACCTTTTTCAGGGTTGCACCCTAGTCGATTTTCTGTGGATACCTCCAGCAACCGCTTTAAGAAATCTTGTGCGTTTCGAGTTAAATGCAACGGGAATGTCACGCCTTGTGACATCTTTTGGAGCTCAATCTTGTGTTGTGTCCGTGGTGACAATCGGAAGATCTCCTCGTTGGCCACTTCTTGGAAAAAGTTGCCACTCGAGTGCATACTAAACGGTTGAAATCCACACATCAACTCGAAAAGCGTGACACCAAGAGACCAGAAATCTACTGCGAATGTGTATCCAGGTCGCTGGTCACGTTTCACCAACTTGCCAGAGATGATCTCCGGCGCCATGTAACCTCGCGTACCGACTGTTGTTTTTCGCCGTGTGAGCTTCGGCTGCACTGGAGTGTACCGATAGTCTCCAGTCTCTTCTTTCTTCAACTTCAGCGGGTCGAAGCCTGCTGCAAGTCCCATGTCAGCTAAGATTACGTGACCATCCTCACCAAGCAGTACGTTGCCAGGTTTCAAGTCCCGATAAATAAGTCCCAACTCGTGCATGTGGTTGAGCGCTAGACCAATTTCGGCTGCGTATAGTCGAACTCGATCCTCGTGGAGGTATCCATCTCGTGACGATTTGAGTGCGTCGCCTAAGTCGCCACCGCGCACAAGCTCTGTCACGATAATTGCGTGTGCTGGAGTCTGAAAACTATAGTGCATGTCGAGGACGAACGGGTTGTGGCAGATCTGCAAAATGTCCTTCTCTGAAGTAATTTGGCTCAGCTGATCGTGATGTTCGTCCAATAAACCTGTCTTCAGCTGAATCTTCATGGCTGTGTAAATCAAGGCAGAAGACTTATAAGTCGTCACTCGCATAAGAGAACCAATCATCATTGCTTACCGTAATGTTTGCCAGTCGACTTCTTGCGTGCATGAACGACACGACCAAAGCCGCCACTGCCCAGCAGCTCCAGATACTCGAAGTCTTCAATCGTGACCTTGTTGTACGTATCCTTCAAGTCCTTCTTGTATGCTTCGTATTCTGGTGAAGCCTTGAACCGCAAGAAAGTGTTTTGGCACATATCACTCACGATGTTGGCCATGAGAGGATCGAAAAAGTCGACTGTCGCGGTCGATCCGTTTGCCTCCAGCTCTCCGATCTTTTTCTGCATTGGTAGAATGAACACGTTTTGATGAGCATTATCGGGAAAATGATAGTCACACAGGAAAACTCACGTCGTAATGATCGATGAGATCGGAGGTGATACTTCCAAGCGCCATGGTCGACCCGTTCTTGATATACTTGCGATAGATGAGCTTGGCCATCGATTTGCGGTAACCACTGGACGGCGCTTCCCGGAACTCTTTGATCTCAACCCAGCAGAAGAAGGACTCGGATGTCATGATCTTTTTGGCGAAAGAACCGATGTGTTTCTGCCCCACGGGGTCGTGCAGCACGTGCAGCAGTTCCTGTTCATTCGTCGACACCTCGCCATTGCCGATAGGAAACGGTTGTGCGATTTTCCATTGCGTCTTGGCAGCCACAAGTGGCGCGTGGTGTGGCTTGTTGGCGAGGTTCAGGAACGCCGTGACGATTCGAGACGGTGTCTGCAGACGCATCGAGCCATTCGAGTCGCTCGGCACAGAGGCTCCAGCGCCCATGGTGATGCCTGCTGCTACCGTTTCTGATCTCTTCGCGTCGATGCAAACAAGACAGCAGGGTTGTCTAGCACACGCCCCCCAATAGGCGATGAAACCAACTGATGGGCTTTAGAGTGCGAGTTGCACGAACGTATAAATATAGCGAGGTGCACCCGTTGGTGTATTTACAGTTGCCCCAGAACAGACAGGAAGTGTGAGGGATCCACAAACATGACTGTGCTCGGACTATTTTCACCACCACCAGTTCTTCGTCGCTGAAAGAACGAAAGCTGCTCTTGGCCATGAAGATCAAATACCACCAGCAAAGTTAGTTCCCGCACTCATCACCAATTCGGTGACCAGAAGCCTTTTGCCCAAGCTTAAAAAACAAAAAGAGACCACAGTTCCTGTCACTTCAATTCATGTTTCTTCATGGAAATAGTGAGCAGGTCGATCCTTGCAGTTATCACTTCAACTTCAGCATAATATCTACTTGGCGCTGTTTACAGGTCGGCTAGATCGCCGATGTTTACGATGGATTCAAGAGCGTGGCGCATAGTCATCGTACGTGTTATCGTGCTGTCAAACCGCTAGACAAGTGAGTTATAGTCATGGTCCAATGCAAATACAGCAGTAAATCATTCGATGGAAATGGGGGAATCTTCGACAGTTGCGATTGTAGTATTTTTACATTTACACAAGAAGTACGTTTTGCAAAGTGGTTTCCTTGCTGTGCTTCTCTAATAGAGTTCCTGGCGCTCCATGTCCGTGAGGTTGTGCAGCAAATGTCATCAAATGTCTGCGTTATAGCAGCCAGCAGCCCGCTCAACTTCCATACAATTAGTGGAAACCTAAACGCGTTTGAACAGGACGTGCAGTAGTGAGACCAGTTAGTATCCCGCTGGGTTCACTTTGCAATTACCAAACTCCATAACAAGTTACCGATTCCAAGGCCATGACCAAGCACGAGGAGATCAAGACCATGCAGCTCTACCGTCATTTGGACCGCATCGATCGTCGCCTGAAGGAATTAGGCTACATCAGCAAGGACGCCCCCGTGGATCCGGAGCAGTTGAGCACGCTAGACTCGCTGCACTTCTTTGGAGACGAACCCATCTGCCGCGTCGTGGAGCTGCTGGACGAGACTCCGGGAGAGAAGAAGGTGCTGGACATTGGTACGGGCTTTGGAGGCACCGCTCGGTTGTTGGCACACCGCAGTGGATGCAAGGTGGACGCTTTGGAGCTACAACCGGACCTGAGTGAGGCCGGTCGAGAGCTTACTCGACGTTGCGGGCTGAGCGACCAAGTTTCGCACTTGAACGGTGACTTCTTAGAGCTTTCGCTTAAAAGAAGCGAGTTCGACGCAGTGATTGGGTTGCTGTGCTTCTTGCATATCGGTCATTGGCGTCAGCTCTTCCAACGCTGCTACGATAGTCTCAAACCGGGTGGATTCCTGTATGTCGACGACTTTTTCCTTCGTGGTGAGAAGCTGACAAACGAGGACGCGCTTACGCTCAAGCAAGACATTTACTGTGCCGATCTGCTGCGTCAAGAGGAGATTCGAGTTGTGTTGAAAGCTTGCGGCTTTGAAAAAATCGATTTCCAAGACGTGACGGACAAGTGGCAGCCGTATGTGTCGGATCGTGCCACGCAGTATCATGCAACGTTGGAGACGCACATCGCTCGTGATGGCGAGGCAGCAGCTCATGATCTTGACCACTTCTACTCTCGCGTAGCACGTTTATTCCAAGATGGAAACGTGGGAGGCTACACGTTGATCGTGCGTAAACCGCTTTGAAATTGAATTCAGTTTAGCTGTGGCTACAGTAGCTAGCTCTCACATACTCTCTTTGCCAACAGTAAATAATTCACTTATACATTTGATGCAGCCATTCTGGAACCATCATTTACATGATGCTCATGACACTCTCGTCCTTGATCATGGCTTCCTTGTCCAACCATTGCTGTTCAGCTTCGTCCGCAACGTCTTCCTCCTGCTCACCAGGCAGCGTGAAGGCCTTGAGCAGAGCCAACGCGTTCTTAGGCTGGTCAAGAGGCACCATGTGACCCGCCTCGTACACTTGCTGGAAGGTAAACGGTCCGACCTGACGGATCCGACCAGCCTTCTTGCCGTCCACAGTCCAATCCTTGTCTTCAGCAGCCAGGAACTCGTCATGCTTGCTCCACGGCAGCTCCAAAGTCCACGCCTTGCATCCCATCCAGTTCACAATGAAGTCGGCATCACCGGCATATACCAAGCCCCTGATTCCAGCTTCAAGCATGGGAGGCACCAGCTGCTGGAAGTTCTTCATCCAGTCGAACGAAAAGCCCGCATGGACTTCCATGTTGCAACTCTGCCACTTGGCGCTCTTGGGACTCACATGCAGCTTCTTCAACGTACTCTTCAGTCTCAGGAACTTCTCGACATGACTGAAGTCGTAGCACATTGGAAAATGTTCACACTTTGCCCTCACATCGTACACGTTCAACCCCGACGCTGAGTAGGGAGCCACCAGGGCGGCATTGCAGAATGTCTGTGCCGCTAGACACGCTGCTTTCGTCGTCTGGCAGCTGGAAATCATACCCACACAGGGCGACACCGCAGCCTTCATTGCTAAGTACACGGGATACGACACAGCCTTGACCCCGTATGTGTTGTTGTAGGCCATGTCAGGGTAGTACTTGTACTGCACCTCAGGGTCCGTGAGCCCGTTGCCAATACCAAAGCCCTTTAGATTAATTTCCACAGGTCCCTCCTTTTGCTGGTTGCCAGTGAAGATCCTGTGCGAGATCGCGGGCACGTAGTGGCCGGCGTAACTCTCGCCGAAGACGTAGAAGGGAAGTTTCTGATACTCCGGCAAGGCCTTGAAGAATTCCTGCAGGAAGTGGTACATGTCGTCGCCCACCTCCTTCTCTGACGTGTCGTACTCGCTCCTGTCTCCGTAACTGAAGCCCACACCAACGGGCTGGTCGATCCACATGACGTTGGCACGTTCGTTCCACGAGTATGGATTTTTCTTTAGCGACAAGTCGCTGTTCACGGAGCATGGGCCGTTCTCCTGCAGTAAAGCCAGGATGGAGCTGCAGCCGGGACCGCCAGTGAGCCAGATAATCAGAGGGTCGGTCGAGGGGCTGCCACGCGACTCGAAGAACCAGTAGAAGTAGTTCTTGGACTTGGAGCCCGTGATCTTGAAGTAGCCGCTCAGCTGCTTGGTCGAGTCGCAGAAATCCTCGTCCACCGAGTTCATGGTGAGGCTGTAGCTGTTTGTGGCATTGCGAGAAGAGGCGGAGGCGGCGGTGCACGCCAGTAGCGCCAACGAGAGGAGAAACCCACGCATCGGAGAAGACCAAGGGGGGGGGGGGGGATCTTGAAGAATGCCATCTCGTTGGGATGGCATGCAAAAGGATTACTTTTGGGGGGTCATTAAAGAGGGGGATTTGTCGCAAGTTGAAGTCATTTACTAAAAATAGAAAAGGGACTAATCGGCAATTATTGAAATTTTCAATAATTAGTAGTTCTCTGGATATTTATATCCAGAGTCCAGAGTCTTAGTGGCTTCGGAAACCCTCGGATATCCTGTATCATATTATTTTGGTTACTTTTGTAATAACTCAATACCTTGAATTGACAAAAGAAGAGCTAAAACGACGAGATAGTTTATAACCTTTTAAGATCCGATCCAAAAACTGGTGAATGTTGACCCAGTCGGACAAGAACGACATTCCCGCAACATCACCGATTGGGTACTCCACAAAAATGAGTGAATGTTGACCCAGTCGGACAAGAACCACATTCCCGTAACCTTTCATTTAGAGGGGGAAGCTGCAATGTTGCCTTGCTAAGGAGAGGCGGGAGTCGTAAGGGGTGTCGTTTAGTGTGACGTCTATCTAGCACATATATAACCATGATGTGGGAGGGTTAGAAGGCTACTTTGCCTTGCTAAGGTGTGGTCATGGAATTTGCCATTGGTTCTGAAAAATATTTTAAAGCTGTACTCACCTCAAATCTGTGGGGGAGGAGAGAGTATTAGCTGCTCGAAAATTTGACAAGTCGAGTAAAACATGACTTTTGTGCGATTTTTACTATAATACTTCCATCGATAGCTTCCCCTTGGCCGAATACTACTCAAAAATTTCGTCAAAGGTGCCACTCTGGTCTCTCATTCCCTTCGTGACCGTACTGCAATGCACATAGAGTGGAGATAATAAGTACATTATAGTTTTCCTGCTTGTTGGGGGCATTTCGCTTTAAACGGATGCCGGTCTTAAGGATATAAGCTTCTGCCTCATCTCATGTATTATTTTTTCGCATAGCCAACAAGCACCTAGCTAGACTCCTCTAGTAGAAACAAAAAAAATAGTTTTTAGGAAGCACATTTTTAATGTTGCTTTTTATCATTTTTTTATTTTAACGCAAAAAATATCCAGAGCTTCCCGGGCAACGCACAGCATTAGTATTATAGTTGCAACCAGTGCTAATATACACGCTAACTTACTGCAAGCTACTACATGTAGTTTTGATGGGGTTCCTCAGTAAAGTTTGATTTCTATGGAAGATTTTTCATCGTATAGATCAGTGTGGTGGTACATTTATCCTCACCGGAACCTCGTTGCCAGTAACGCACGTAATGCAGCATACTGGTATATACGCATAATCGTCGCGTTCTTCAGGAAAAAATTAGAGTTTAGTTAGCGTCACATCGATATCCGAGAACATCTCGACGGCTAGTGTATTTTTTCATCCTCAGAAGCATCAAACGAGAAGGGCCGTCAAAGTCTCCGCTGATGCCCGTCGCCTCCGTTGTCAAAACAGAAAATGGATGCCAGAGTAGCGTGCCAGCAACTGCCAAGCCCTTCGCCAATCATTTTAGCGGGTCGAAACCCTGTGTAAATAGATTAAATGGGTTTGAGCCCATAAGCCCGCCAGAACACCTGTCATATTTGATTGTGAAACGACGCCCTGGGAGCAACGTTGCTTTCTCGCTGCAGGGGAAGATCTAAGTGACGATGCGTCCCTACTACCAGAGTATAGCATTTACATGTTAATACTTTATGGCAAGCGAACCAGTCCTCGGCGTGCAGAACTACGTCGAATTAACAGCAAACACTCTTGGAGCTGTGCCGTTTTGGGAACGCATTCTACACGGTTTTCCAGTTGACCTGATCGGGATGCTCAATACTTCCGAAGTATAAAAATATCTGCTAACGCTGGCAAATGTAGAAGATGCAACCGTGTTGTAGTTTGTACCAGCACACACGAACGCTGGTGACATTTTTCCGCACGTTGCCGCCAGCCACTTCCTTTTCCTTGCACTATTACGGTAACAGCCTCATGGAATGGGAAGTTTGCTCGCCAAATACGGCCTCGGGACCAAGCTTTCGCAAGAAAAGGCCTTCAATCGTGCGCTCCATCTCAATGGTGCGATTTTACAAACGCTTAAAGGACTTGGTCTAGATCACAAGCATCTCTATGCTCTACACCAGATCTTTTCTGCCATGGACAAAGGTGAGGGGGTTTAGTCCGACGTGATAAATTACATACTAATGCTCGTGAAATGCAGACAAATCGGGCGAAATCAACATGTTAGAGTTCTTCGACTACATCGGTTCGTGCAGTTTTATGTGTTGTATCATGACCAAGGTTCTCTGAGTGTTTTCACTTACTCCTACTCTGGTAGATTTGACGCGAAGTCGCTTTTCAGAAAAGGCGTTTTCGGTCATGGATCGGAATGGTAGTGGTGAAGTAGATTTCATTGAGTTTGTGTTGGCCGTGTGGAACTACTGTACATTCAACCACGCTAGTCTTGTTCGATTCGCGTTCGACCTGTACGACGTCGATGGCAGCGGTGAGATCGAACACGATGAGGTCGTGAGGTGTGTACGAGAAGTGTGGGGTAGCGCTTGGGAGACCAGTCCAAACGCTCAAAAAATCGTGGAGAAGCTAGATACAATCATGGAAAACACGGCAAATAATCGCCTCACTGCGAACCTCTTCCAGGAATTCGCTGTACGGCACCCAATGCTATTATTTCCTGCCTTTGAACTCCAGATGGAAATTCAGCGGAAGGTATTAGGAAAACGGTTTTGGTCGCGCGCGGCCGAGAAGCGTGGGTCGATTAACGTAACAGCGCTGAACTGGGATCACGTTAAAGAGGTGACGCTGATATCCAGGAAAACTAGTTCCAAGTTGCTCACTTCGATGGAGGAAGATCTTAATACCGAACTGCAAACTAAAACATCGTCAAATTGGTATGGGCGAGGTTCCGGCTTTCGACCTTTTTCTCATCGGTCAAAACGCACACATGCCTCCGGGAGCGTCAATACTTCTGATAGTGGCGAAGAGGCTCCAGATAAAGGAGCAATCAAGCTGCCTGAGTTGAAGCGAACAACGACTCCTGCAAGAAGGGAAATACGACGACAGTCCGCCCCAGCAGTTACTTGTACTACAAGACGAACGTCTCATGTCATGGACCCCAATGTTGTAAAAGTTGCAAGTCCAAAACATGGATCACAGGATCTTACACACCAAACAAATTTGCCAGGCGCGGTATCATGAGGATGGAATGAAATAGTAGGATAGATAAAATGAATACTGGATTTTTATTGTATGTCCTGCTTCGGGGCGAGGGCCAGCTTCAAGTATTCTGCACCAGCATGAAGATACGCCATGTTAGGTTAAGTCAGTTAGAACTATTGTAACGGACGAAAGCGTACGCTGCTGTTTCATGCTTGTGCTTCGAGCTGACGACGTCGGCATTGGCATTCTTATCTGGTTGGCCTTGTGTGACGAGTAGAACTTGCTGATAGCTTCTTGATCCAGCGCCACCTGACGATCGCGGATGGTCTGCCTGATGGCCGACACCTTGTGCTTCAGTCGGTCCGCCTCGCTCTCCTGCAACACAGCCAGTCAGTCGCCAAACACCACGTCGGTATTCGCACTAGCTTCTGCTTCTCACCTGCTTTTCAATAGAGTTGACGATCGTGGTGGATGCGTTTAGCAGGTTGGACGCTAGCAGTTCGAGCGCCTGCTGCGCTTGGTTTTGTGCTTCGTCCAGATGTGCCTTCGTGACGGTCTTCCTATTGGTAGAAGACGGACCATCCGCCTTGCAGCCGAACGCCGACTCGTACAGCGACGCCACCTCCTTCATGTATGCGACGCTCTTGTCAAAGTTGCTCCAGACGCTCTCCTCGTCCACTTCATGATCCTCCATCTCTCGGCGCTGTAAGTGGCTGCTGATTCGTCATTCACTTCAAGCACACACTAAGTACGAATCGTACTTAACGCGACTTCTCTTCGCCCAAAAAGATCGTAATGCCCAGGGGGAAGAAGACAATCCGACAATTCCCATACGCTGCAAGAAGACCATCACTCCTTTTAACTGGATCTAAGTAAGGCAACGTGGGCTCATGAGCAGCAGCGGCACACGCAGCAAGCAAGCGCGACTGATGCGGCAAGCTAGCGTGCTGCACGAGCTGCAGGAGACGCAAGAGAAGGACTCGCTGGACGGCCGCTATGCGCGTCTTATGGCCGAGCTGGCCGCGCTCTGCAGCGACCGCAATAACGTGATGACGGCTGAGTCGCTGCAGTTCTTTGCCTCTAGCGGCCGCGCTGAGCCGGTTAAGCTCGAGCGTGCGCCTGAGCGCGTCGACGCCCAGCAGAAGCAGAGTAGCAGCAAACAGGACGACCTGTTGAGCGCCGATGCCGCGCGTCGCCAGCGTGTCGAGGAACTCACGCGCTTCTTCATGGAGGCCAAATCAGACATTGAGTTCGCACTGGGTGGTGGGCGAGACTTCCACGAGGCTAAAGACAAGGACAAGGAGGCGGAGAACGAGCGCGACGAGGAAGACGTTGAGGCCGAGGACGACAGCCAGGACGACGCCCAAGACCCCGAAAGGCAGCTGGCCAAACTGCATGCTAGACTGCTCCAGGACAAGCTGGACAACAGGGTGTATAACGTCATGTTGGGTCCGATTCGAGAGCAGGATCCTGCACTGTACGGCGCCATTCTGTGCCACCCGCTTATTACCGGCGTGGACCCGAAGAAGGACAAAAAGAAGAAGAAAAAGCGGAAGGACAGAGATCGCAAGGAGAGGCAGCCGTCACAGACCAACATTGGAGCTGGCATGCTCACGCCCGATCTGACTGCCGATCCTTTGTCGGATGAAGACATGAAGACCAACATTAGTCGCTTCGTTGCCAAGAGTATTGCTGACGGATCGCTACAGGGACTGATGCTCGCCGCGAAGCTCGTGCTGTCGTACCTGGATCACCAGAGTAAAACAAACGAGGCGGCTCCGCCGACGTTCCGTCTGGCGTCGCATCTGCGGGTCTTGCGAGGAGAGAAAGCGCCTGAATATAAGCCGAAAAAAGCCGCTGCAACAGGCATTTCAACGACGAAAGAAGTCACGACCCCGACGAAAGCGGACCAGACCATGGCAGACTCGAGTGCTCTTGACACTGCGGAAGGCAGTTTTGAGACGGATTTGCAAAGCGTCGTCCTGGAGGCCGCGACCTCCGCCGAAATGGATTTGGACTCGGACAGTGGGTCGATTGCCAAGCTCCGAGCTCGGTTGAGTCGATTCGGCGACGATGGTGATGATGGAGACGATGATGAAGACGACGACGATGAACGTGGAGAAGGCGAAGACAGTCTTGGTGGTGAAGGCGTGGATGAAGATGCACTGATGGCTCGTGCAATTGCGTTGTCACTTTCTCCCGAAGTAAATTTGCGGGATCAAAACGTCTCGGACGATGCTCCATTGACTCCAAAGAGCGAGAGCAAGCCCGATGGAGTGTCAGAGCAAAACGAGTCTCCCGTCGTGAAAAGTCGTCCGCCCAAGTTTTCTGCTGAGGAGTTATTGGAACTTGGCCCGTTCACACTTCCTTGTGATTCAATGGTCGATGTTGATGGAGCTACAGTTGTGATGGCATTGGTAGTCCAGATGACAAAGGTGTGCATGGAGTATCTGAAATCGTGCCAGCAGGGTGTTCTCCCTAACAAATCACCAGTCCAGCCGCACCCGCTGACATTCATGCTCCTGAATTCCTTATTGAAGGACTTGCACACTGCCGGTTCTCCTCATTCTCGTCAGCCTGAGAACCCCAGTTTGGATGCAAAGTGGCGATTATTCACTTCATGCTCGATGCTGTCGCTGTTTCGCGTGCTGGAAGTCAACTTTTTTCACGTTGAAGTAATGGGGATTGCCCCAGCTTCAGTTGGTCTAGGGCAAATCCCCAAGCCTAATGCAGAGCAAGATGGCGGCAAAAGTGAAGGTGGCAATCCGCTGTTGGAGAGTTTGAAGTCACTTGTGCTTAATTACATCGCCACTGACAGTCCCGTTCAAGTTGACGCAAACAAGGATGTCATTGGCACTATAATTTTTTCGAGTCCAGTGTCTTGCTCTGCGGCAGACGTACAGAATGCTGCAGCGTATTATTATGCTCGTATCCGTGAGCAAGCAATGGCAGCGTGGATACGCGCTTTTGCTATCTTTTACGACGGACAGAAAGAGAGACACATGATACTGGCGTCAAAGCTAGCCGAGTGCCTTAAGCTTGCTCGATCTGGTGAGCAAAATGTTGAGTGGAAGTTTCACCAGCTAGATCTCCTATGCGCTCGACTGGCGTTGCCCGATATGGCGCAACAATTTGTGCCCACCTGTGTAGATGTTATTGAACACGACAGCAAGACCGAGCGGGACCAGAAGGATCAGAGCGGGACTGACTGCACCATAAAACCAATCGATGATGGAGCGCTTCAAAATGCCGCGTCAAAGACAGGGAAAATCAAAGCAAAGTGGAGCCCCGCCGTCATTCGTGCTTCGCTTGACTCTGGGTCTCTGACTGCACGATGCCTTTACGACTACATTTCTGGGCATGGTCCTCCTGGTCTTCTGGATACATTAATGGAGAGTCCCAGTGGTGGTCCAAGTGACGATGCACTGGACGCTGGCATTTTGGCGAACGCTTACGATGAAATGTGGGATATGGGACGCAAGCAGAAGGCGGAAGCTTTGGAATGCATTAATCGCCTGCCTAGTCTTGTTGATCTGTTGCGCGAGAGCATTTTGTCTGCAGGGTGGCATAGCTTCTCGTTCAAAGACAGCTACGAGTTAGTACATGCTCCGTTGCTACCGCTACTCGAAAAAGAGGATTCTTCGCGACCGCCAACTCTGAATGCTCGAATTGTACTGCTCCGATCACTTCAAGACTTAATGATCCAACGGCTCGGTGGCTCCCGTGGTGATGAGCCTCCAGCCTTGGAGTTTGATTCTTCGAGGTGCGCTGAAACGATGACGCTTTCGGACGGAAACCGAACTGCCAAGCAATACACAGCAAAGCAGTGGGGAATGGTGATGGCTACAACTGGTTGCCCTCCTAATACTGGTATTCATGAGTGGGGTGTTCGTCTTGACCGTTGCGAGAAGGGACACATTTTCCTTGGTGTCTGCACCAGAGATGCATCCGTGGCAACCTATGTTGGTGGTGACCGGCAAGGTTGGGGACTGATTGGTACTCGAGCGCTCTGGCATGCACGAAGCAAGGTCCGTGGCGACTACGGCGATGGCTTCACTACAGGCAGTGTTGTGCGTGTCCGATTAAATACCGATAGCGGAGCATTGTCGTTTGGTGTTGGGGATAGTGATTGGGGCATTGCATTCGACGGCTTGACGCAGCACGGTACATTGTATCCTGCTATTGGTCTATATCAACGAGACGATCAAGTGACTATTCTGCCTGTCCAACCGACAGTGGATACAACATATGCGGCATCCTCTAACGGTGAAGCAATCGAACACAAGGGTGTGGCTATTCCTGCTGTTCTCAAGCCGTTCTTGCATCACGTTGGGGCCTTGATGGAGTCATGCTGCTCATTTTTGTCGAGTCCTGCGCTGAATGATTTGAACATTTCAGATCAGCAATTAACTCTTACTCCAACGCAAAAAGTCGAGCGTGCGCATGACTACGAGGGATTGGTATCTTCACACCCGCTGCTGTTTACAATGGTGACCCCGCTCATCAGCTCTCTAAGCCTTATCCGGAACTACCACGGTTTGTCTTCGACCCTGGCTATGACCTTCGTGCCATGGTGTATTCGCACTATGCAAAGCATTGAGCGTGTAAACCAAGCTCTTCGAGCGCTGGCTACATCCGATGACAACGTTTCTCCTGGTAATCTTGTGCTCAGCGTAGCTGGGGAATGGGAATTAAAGAGTATGGCTGCTGGCAATATTCCGGCACAGCAATACCATCTCACGCTTTCTCAAGGCAAAGATGGATCGATGCACGGGCGCAGCAGTGGCTCGTTTACTACGGTGACATTGAACGGTATCGCTCGAGGAACTAGGGTTTCTTTCGTGGAAACGTGGCGGCAAGGAGGCACTTGCTTGGTCGAGGGGCGTCTGCGTGCTGACGGCACCGTATTCACAGGCAGTTACGAAGACACCAAGAGCCATACAAGTGGTTGTATTGTGGGAAACAAAATCTCGCGAGACTCCAAGGATACAGACGAACGTCAGTTGGTGAGTAATCAGCTCGTCATCCTGGAAATGGTGATTGCGAACTTGCTGGGTTATTTTGGCCATGCATTGACCAGTTTGAAGGATGATGACGTGCTTATCGACAACGTGGCTACGAGCGTTCTCAGCATGAATGAAGCTGTCAAGGGGGACGATGGCGAAAGCGATGACGGTGATATGTCCAAACTGTCATCTTCAGAGTGCTCACTTGATGATTACGACGAATGGGTGAGTAGTAGTCTGCTTGAGGGTGGGTTGCCTCTCAACAACGTACAAACACACTTGAAGAGTGTGCTTGATCGATGTTCGGAGATTACTGGTATCGGATCTGCCGCTGGTTCACTTCCTGTTCTCACGGAAGCTACAAAATCCTGGATGCAATTTGTGCTGCCGAAGACACTCTCGACCCCTCTTCCTAGTGCTGACAGTACGCCTGTTGCCGGGACTCATGTGAGCAGTCCTTTCTTAAAGGATTTGATTGAAAACTGTGGCGAAGCAGCAGCGCTAGATCAGTGGGTATCGAAGCACGTTGGCGAGTCGCCGTTGATGCGACTTGGAGGAGAGCCCATGAAGGCCACTCGACGTACCGTTTGTGCTGCCATGATATGGCATAGCGGTTTCTTGAACTTCATCAAGAAGCAAATTGACAATTCGCAGAGTAACTTCACAGAAAGCGATGTTCGACCACATGACAATTTGATGCACATCTGGCGAGCTGCTCAGAGGGTCATCGAGTGGGCTATCCGGACGAAGAATTCGATGGGATCGTCGTACGCAGTTGTGGCTGGATTGGTGATTCGGAAAGCTCAGTTTTTACTCGAGATTGAACCTAGCGCAAAAGCTTTGGCGGCTGCTGAGGCTGTATTTGCGTTGACGACTGTGGATAGTGGTGCGCAAAGGATAGCGTCCAAGTCAGCAGTGTACGAATGCGCTGAGCGCATTTATAGTGATGTACTGGTACAGGTTACACGCTTTGTGGAAGCTCCTATTCGTGTATCAACGCTTCAGTCAAGGATGCTAGGAAATTGCACCGCAGCATTCCTGCGAACAATCGGCATGTTATCCTTCAGAAACTTCGTGGGTGACTCGGGTACCAACCATCGCGGAGTTCTAACTGCGGAGCGTTACGAAGTCATCCAGTCTTCGTTCGCGTTATCAAGTGCATTGCAATGGCTGTCCCCATCTCTAGCAGACTTTAAAGCCAATGGTGGTCGTGGTGGGTCTCTGGGCAAGGACTTCGGAGATTTCGGTGCTAGTGTAGTCCCAGCTCCATCGGCCTCAACTCAAGCCAATACGACGGAGTCTACTTACTACCTGAGCGGACTTGGTGGCTGCGGGAAGCATTTGAAGAATGACCTGCGTGACTCCTTTGAATCGTTGTATGGATACCTGAGCGCGTCGTTGTCCAAAGCTACTTGGGCCCATGACGCTGACCTGCAGCTGGTTATTTTGCTAGCTTGGGGAATCATTATTCAGCCGGACGACCACTCATTTTTGTCACGGGTTGGCATTTTCAGAGTGTTGCAAACTGTGTTGGACGAGGCACGTGGGTCTAGCGATATGACCTTAACAGAAACCTCAGTTGGCACTTCGCGTAATTCCCCTGATGACACGGCTTTGGTTGCGGAGAACAAGAAGAAGATTGTCCAAGCTGCGTTGAAAGTGGTGCATTTGCTAGCTGCGCAAGTTGCTCACGCCAGTGATACTGCAGATGGGCTCCTAAATGCGTCCGATCTCCCGTCGACTCCGGGTCTCAGCTTGGGTTCTATTCCACTGTTGCGCAAGCCGTCAGGCCCCGAAACACTCGGCAAGTCTGTGTTCCACATGCTGTACACAGAGCTGAAGAACTCCTTGGACGAGATGCGGCAGAATCGGGGAAACATAATTGTTGATGCCCCGTTGACAGCATTTGTGACAGACCCGACGCAATCCGGCGACCCGAGCACGTCTGGATCAGAAGCAGATTTTGGAGAAGGCATGGATGATGCTCAAGAGTATTGCTACCAGATCTGTTCACTGCTGTACTCGGTGAGCGGCTCGCCTGTTTGCAGGTCGCACCTTTCATCGTCTCGGTGGCTTCGACTGCTGCTTGCCCTTGTCGATGTGAACTCACCCCAGATACAACGACGGATCTTAAAACTGCTCCGTCGCCTTCTGCCGTCGCTCGACCCATCCTCTATTAGAGTTCGCTACGACGAGGTCGAAAGTTTCGACATGGACAGTGACGAGGAGTTTGATGCTGACGGACAGGATGAGCCGGACCATGCATCTACACTGATCAACTTCTTTGTGGGAATTGTGGGAATGAATAACCCTCCCAGTGTTGCTAACGTAATGCTGCGTCGACTTGCAGATTCTAATGCTCCTAATCGTGCTGAAATCCCCGGTCAGGCAGTGACTTCTGGTTTCAACGGCGGGGAACTCGCTACTGAAGTTGTACTGCTTTTGCGTTCGTTGTACGAGTCAGAAAAGTGGGCAGAGTACTTGAATCACGCGATTTCCGATGCACTCGCCTCGATTCCGCTTGTGTGCGTCACAGAACAAGAAGGAGGTGCAGCAGAAACCGCCGATTCTGATGTGGAAATGGAAGACATGTCCAAGGAGACACCGTCGCTCGGAAGCTGGACGACGCAAACTACGAATTACGTACGAGCCTTGTCTGCGCTCTGCATTCTCGATGGCCAAATCGAAGGCATTCACGTCGGTGGTACAGTCAAAATTATGCCTCGATCTGGCTCATCTTTACAGGAAATCGCTTTTCGAGGTGCTCGAGGTGTGGTTGTTACCTACGAGGCAGAGAAATCTGCAGCTGAAGTATTACTGCGTGGGAACCGTGCAGATGACACCAACAGTCAACAACAGTCTCTGCTCCCAACTCGTTCCATTCCGGTAAGTGTGGAGGTTGAAGTTATTTCGATGAGAAAACATGTACTTATGCTTCGTGTATGTTACTTATCACAGTCACGCCCTGTTCGTGTGCCGATTGACGATTTGTTTGCCGTCCCGGAGGTTGAGTTGCCGAACAATGCGTTTTCAGACGAGGTCTTGCAGTCCCTACTTGTTACACGCTTCCCATACTTTTTGGCAGAAGTCAAGAAAAGCCTTATGGACGTGAATATCATCGACACTCTCAACGGAGCTGACGAGGCCAGTGGTAACGATGGGGAAAGTGAAGACGACGATGATATGTCCAATGATGGTTCTTCGTCACCATCAGCGATGGACAGCGAAATGCCCAGTGGCGCTGGTGCGGATGAATCCGGTTCGGAAGCCAATGGATCGCCTCGTCGCCAGAAAAGTGGAGTTGAATCCGCGTCACCCACAGAGCCTACTGATGTTCTGGCGGAAATGGAGAAGGAGTCACGACTTCATCGAATGCTGCTTTGTCAGCATGGCCTTCGTGCCTCTGCTACATTGCTAAAGAACGACTATTGCGCTGTGACATTCATCCGTGGTGTTGGTCCGAGTGGCCTTAAAGACTTACTAACGGTTGCCATTTCGGAGACGCCTACGACGGCAGGGGTTGGAGATATCTCATCGCTGGAGGAAAGCTGGCTAATGCTGTGGTCCCGTTGGTACGCTATTAGAAGTGCACACGCGGCACCATCGCCCCCGGCTGACGCTAATGAAGGAAAGAACAAGACAAACGATGCAGTTGAGACTAACAACTCCCCGGGTCCGATGGTTCAGCAGATGATGGAGATGGGATTTCCGAAGGAGTGGTGTGACGTTGCTTTGGCTCGCTGTTCTCAGAATGTTGAAGCAGCAATCAATTTCTGTTTCGAGCACAGCAGCGACATGGAGCGTCTTGTTGCGGAGTATAGGTCAAGTCGATCTGGTGGAGATGGCAGCTCGAAATCTTCGCGAAAGGATGAGTTCGAAGTTATCAGTCCGTTACTGGAGCAGTTGTCTGAGATGGGATTCCCTTTCAACTGGTGCAAAAAGGCATTAGCCGCAAACAGGAACAACGTGGACGCGGCTTTGACGTGGATCTTATCGAATGGCGAAGCCTTGGAAGCAGAAGATCGGCGAGATGAGGAAGCCAAGCTACGGACTGCAGGCGGGGATGGAGCTGACGCAAATGCTCCAACTACTATCATTCCAGAAGGCGAAGATAGTGTGCTCATGCCAAACCCACTTCGAGCTGTGAGTGGCCAAGCCTGCATCGGAGAGCACGACTTAATGGTGGAAGGCCTCGTTGGTGGCGGCTTCGCTAGCGTTGGCGCACCAGATTGCCTCGTCTCCAGCGGCCGATGGTACTATGAAGCTATCCTTCACACTAACGGTTGTATTCAAATTGGCTGGGCTGATGTAGCATTTTGCGGTGCGGCTGATCGCGGGGATGGAGTTGGAGATGGTGCGCACTCATGGGCATACGACGGATGGAGACAACAGCGATGGCATGGCCGTTCGTCACCATGGGGCTCGAAATGGAAACAGGGTGATGTCGTCGGTTGTGGTATCGACGCAGACGCTGGTACCATCATTTTTAGTCTGAATGGAAAGATGCGATCGGCTAACATGGGAGTCGCTTTCCGGGCTATTGACTTTGCCCGTGGTGTGTACCCATGTGCGAGTTTTAACCGGAGAGAGCGCTTGCAGTTCAATCTAGGTGGAACGCCGTTCAAATACCCTCCCCCGCCAGGTTTCCAGCCAATTCTGAACGTCCTGAGTGACTCCAACGACCTTAGCTTAGTGCCCAAGGGCTTTGAAGTGATTGGATCCCGAGAAGACTGCCTGGAAGAGAGCGTGGGTGAAGAGAATTACTCTAGTGATACCAGATACTTCGCCCGAGACATGCATCCATCAATGCTTCGCAGCTCAGGCCACAGCCGCAGTAGTGGTTTTACTTCCGGCTCCGGCATGACAAAGGCGGACGCCTTGGCTGAGATCAAGGCACTTCCCGATAATCGCGTGTATGTGGAACTGCTGGTGGTCACACGCTCGCTTGCAATTTTGCAAGCACGGCGAGCTTTGTTGACATTGCTAGCCAAATGGCCTACATCAGTGGTGGGCCCGTTCTCCGTTGCAAAGTGCTTATCTGGTGGAGTCTCACTAAATGCTGCCACTGAGAGGGAGGATTCGGCAAGGTTCATCGACTTCGTTAAACTCATCGCGAGTTTAAGTGCTCTCCACGTGTCGAATGCACTACCGAGCACGTCGCTGACGCTTCCTGACGGTGATGCACTTCATCTCCTCGATTGTGGAGCCACCGGCCGTTTCGCGCTAGGCTTACTCTCTGGAGTTGTGCAGTCGGCGCTGAATAATGCTCTATCGACAGTTACGTCTGGGGCGGATGGCCACAACCCGCTCGTGGATACGATTCTGTCTTGTATTTTTTCGGAGGTTAAGCGAGCGTCTCAACGCCAGTACGCTCGCATCCCATGGAATTCGTCGGAGGCTGCTATTACTGCTACGCTCCTGCAGGTCACAGCTGAAGCAGGGCAAACGTGGTCTGACAAGGAAGTGCTGAATCATCCCAACCTCTTCCTGGCTGAGTGGATTAGTGGCTTGCTGCTGGAGTCGTTGGAGAAACACAAGGGACGGCTCTCGTCGCCTGTTCATGATCAAATTCGACAGCAATTGCTGCAAGCTTGGACGTCGTCGCTGAAATCCCCTAGCATGTGCGTCAAAGAGCGAGGTGCAACCATTCTTGCCGGAATTCTTCAAGATATCCTACCGAAGACTGGGGGAATCTCAGATGCAAGGGACATCGCGGCCATTGACGATGAAACCAAGATACGCTTGAAATCAGCCTTGGATGTGCTTCCGCTACAGCGCCTTGTTGATCTTTCACAAGAACGAATCCTTCGCGAGTATCCAAACGTTCCCGTGTGCTCCAAGTATGTTCAAAGTATCGTGGAACTTGTTTCTGCTGCTGGTTTGGTGATGAGTGCTGTGGGTCAGTCGACCGACAAACTGTTTGAAAGCAGCACGTCCCTGCAGTTGCAGGCTTGCAAGCAAATCGAGGTTGACCTCGAGCCGATTGATCAGAAGGAATACGAGGAAGTCATGGCCGCAAAGAAGCTTTTGGAGGCGAAGCAGGCGCAACAGGCTGCTGAGGAAGCCTTGAAACAAGAGAAACTTGCTGCAGAGCGAGCAGCAGCTGTGGAAGCTGGAGCTGATAGAGATTCGTCGTCAAGTCTAGGCGAAGCGAGTCCAACGATCATCAACGGCGATGGTGCCAACCAAGATGCACAGGATGACATCGGTTCTGCAAGGAATAGTGGGGTTACCAACATGGAGGTTGACAATAGTGACTCCGAGGAGGCTCCCGACATCACGCTGTCTGCAATTGCGAACATGGTAACGGAAGATAGTGATGTGATGACAGCTACGGCTGCTATTGCTGGATCTGGTGACCGCCTAGAGATCAAGGGACCAGGACGGAAAACTAAACTCCCTATGCCAGAGCTGCTTCAGGAGAATGCGGATACCACGTTCGAGTTCCACCTACCAGAGGAAGATCCTGTCTTCGATACGTCTATGCTGGACGCACAGGAGATCGATGTGTTGGAAGCTGCAAAACGTGGCATTATGGGAGAGGAACAGAGAGGCTGGAAGCATGGCAATGGCGTAGGAGTGCTTGCTGATGCTCACACGCAGCTATGGAGTGGCACGCTGACCCAGTTCAGGCTACGTCAAAAGCAAGAGGAGACCAACCATACGGAGCTGAAGGTCGGATGCAAAGTGATTCGTGGACCGAACTGGAAGTGGCGTGACCAAGACGGAGGCGAAGGCAGTGTGGGTGTTGTTGAAGGGGTGTCACCCTGGAGTGGCGTGGACGGAGAAGGGATGTCCGTGCGATGGCCAAACGATTCCTTATACACGTACCGCTGGGGTGCAGACGGTAATTTCGACTTAATTCACGTGGAAGTGGATGAGGACGGGAACATCACACACCAGTATCCTACTCCGAAAGCCAGGCAGGAAGACGAGGGATCGTTTGGATCCGAACTGCATCTCGGTGTATTACTCTATCTCTTTGTTGACGAGAACGATTCGAGTGCTACAAACGCTGAAGCGGTGAAGGTTGCTGGCGTGATGGAGTGGCCTGACTACGGTGCTGCTGTTCGCGTTGTTGGTATGAGATATCCTGACGGCTCTCTCTGTGTTCAAGAATTGCAGTTAACCCGCGGTAATCCCGACATGGGCTGGATGCTTCGCTTTGGAACTGAGAAATGGCAACCGGGGACGAAGTATATGCTTCGCCCGTTTACGACACAAGACCCGGCAGATGGAACATCAGCTGATGATGCTTCGAAGGTCGATACGCTCCGTGGTGAGTACTCACATAGTGGCGTGAAAGAAGGAGAACTTGTAGAAATCCGTGGTGAGCTTCAAGTATCGACGAAATATCTATTCACGATGGACCACCACAATCACTTCTCAACGCTTGGCATATCGTCGGATGGACTGTCCGTCACGTGCCACAGTGGCGAATCGCGGAACCTTGCGCTAGGAACGGTGGGTTTTACTACTGGAGTTCACTACTGGGAGGTTCACGTAGAGCAAGCGGAGTTTGGCAGCGTGTTTATTGGCGTGTGCGAGAAGGCTGGACCACCCGGATCGCAGGCTGCGCTGTCTAGTCGCCTGAATAGGTGGCACGGATGGGGCTTCGTTAACTTCCGTGCAACGTATCACAACAGTACGGAGCGGATCTACGGCGACCACTTCAACGCAAGCGACACCATCGGCGTTCGACTCGACATGGAACAAGGCAAGCTGTCGTTCTTCATGGACGGAATTAAGTTTGGCGAGCACATCGTGTCAGACTTGGGTGTCGCGTTTGAGAACATCAAGGGCGAGCGCAACTCGCGAACGTTATATCCATGCATCGGTATGCGCAAGGGCGGTGATCGTGTCACGCTTAATCAGAAGTGGGTGTCAATGCCTGGCGTGTCTCCGCGCCAGATCCTATCGGACGCTGTAGATGTCAGCAAGTCATTGCACTCGTGGTATGTTTCGATTCAAAAGGGCAAAGCTGCTACCACTGCTGGGTCACCTACTGACGGGGCTGAGGTGATGATACCTGCAACGCCATCGACAGTAGACACTCGGGTGAAGCTACCGGAAAAACTACTGCGTGAGAGTTGGTCCGAGTGGAAGCGATGGAGTGACAATCACTGGCAACGGTGTCATGTGCGCCCGCGCGGGATTTCTGTGGACTTCGACACGTCGCATGCTGCTTGCATCCGTGTCAGCAACGCTGCGGGCCTGGGTGCTCCGTTCTTGGCTGGTGATCGTGTTCGCATGTGCTCAAAGTGCGGACAGGAGTTGAATCAGCCCGAAGAGGCTATAATCCTAGGTGTGTATCGTGGATTCCTGTGGTACCGCACTGAAACTCAAGGAAATGAAGGCGCAGACGAAGGACGTGCTTCGGCCTGGTATTGGTCTCCAAGTGAGCTGCCAGAGCTGCTTCTGATTCGTCGTGGAGGGAAGGATATGACTCTGATTGAGAACAGCGCGATGGATATGTCGGACTACGAAGATGCGCCTGAGCACAGTCCGTTTAAGCCTCGTTCGGCATTGGAAGAGCGTGCGAACACTGACTTTGATGCGTTCGTTGAGCTAGCCACGCGAGCTCATACGACCACATCCGACATCCAGTTGGTGGAAAGACTGAACGCGTATTGTGCAGCAATCGGGTTGGATGTGACGAACCTCAAAATTACGGACGTAGTGACTCCAGCAGAGATGGGAGAAAATGAGAGCAGCGCAGCTGCGGTACGTGGACGCTCGCGGACGCGCTCGCTGGTTACGGACAACTATTTCACGTCGCCAGCACTGAAGAATATCAGTGGCCCTGAGTTGCGCGCACGCACAGCCGTTCTACGCATTCTGAACAGCAAAATCCTTCGTGTGCTTCCTATCATTGCGATCCAGCCTGACGATGGAAGCAGCACTCAGCCAATTGAAGTTGCAGACAGCACAGGTACTACTATCAAGAGCTCAACTGAATTCTTATCGACGAGCTTAAAGTTGCGCTCTCTGCGACGGTTAGTCTTCACAAGCACGAAGCGTGCCTTCTGGGACGACGTTCTACGTGCAACGACCACCAGTACACCGCTTCCGTCGGACGAGTATGAGGACCCACGAGAGATCCGCGTTATCCGTATCAACCGTATTCAGGCCCAAGCGTCAAAGCTGAGTACGCTCTCGCAACCTGGCGAACGCTTGCGTCGTTCGGTGTTCGGTCAGCTCTATCGGGAGATGCGCGCGTGGAGCGACAGCTTCTTCCGTCGCGCCTATTGCGGCAAGGGCCACGGCGGTCAGCGTCGTGCATTCAAGGTCAAATTCCTGGGCGAAGGTGTGAACGACTACGGTGGACCATATCGTGCGGTCTTCGAGCAAATTGTGGATGAGCTACAGATGGATAATGTGGAGTTAGCTAAGGGAGAACAAGGTCTGCTGCCATTGCTGATCCCGTGCCCGAATCGACGCAGCGCTACTGGTATCAACCAGGACAAGTTCTTGCTGAACCCGTCGTGTGGAACCGCGTTACTGGCGAACGGGCCCATGGCGCTGGATCTGCATCGCTTCTTGGGAAAACTGGTTGGCACAGCAGTGCGCCATGGTCTGCAAATGGGACTGGACTTGCCTTCGCTTGTGTGGCGGCCATTGGCAGGGCTAGAAGTCAGTCGCGCACATCTTGAGAGCGTCGACGTAGCGGCGGCTAATAACTTGACCTGCGTTGAGGAACTTAGCACTGATACGGAGGCAGCAGCTCAAGAGGCTGAAGAAGTGCTCGGTTACTTGACACTCTCGACAACGTTGAGTGACGGTGTTGAGGTTCCATTGATTCCGCAGGGTGAAAAGATGCCAGTGACGTTGGAAAACCGCGAGCTGTATGTGCAGCTCGTAGAGAAGACTCGACTTACAGAGAGCAGCCAACAACTTGCGGCACTCAAGGACGGCCTGGCGTCTGTGCTTCCCATGGAGTTGGCGCCGCTATTTACGCCGCGTGAACTTGAGGTGTTGATCTGTGGACGTCGCGAAGTGGACGTGGACCTGCTGCATCAATGCACAGAGTACAGCGAGGGAGCTGACGAGGCGATGCCGCACGTGCAGCACTTCTGGGAGGTACTGCGTGAGATGACAAGTGAGGAGAGGACGTCCTTCTTGCGCTTCGTATGGGCTCGCAGCCGCATGCCCAACAGTGCCAAGGATTTCCCTATGAACTTCAAGCTGCAGACTGCGCAAGACCCAGGAGCTTCAAGTCAGCCGGACGTGTATCTACCTCACGCTCAGACATGTTTCTTCGCTCTGCGGCTGCCAGCCTACACTAGCAAGGAGGTGCTGCGTACGAAGCTGCTTTATGCCATTCAGAACTCGCCCAACATGGACGCCGACGTGAGGCTGCACAACGCTGAAGGTTGGGCGGACGCCTAAACTCCCAGACCCAACTACATGATTGCATATATTCATATTCACATGGAAAACAAGTTGATTTGTTCTGATTGAAAGTGCTTCATACTCATACTCGTCTAGCAATTGTGACTTCACTTTAGATACATCAGTGCCATTGCGATTGGACAAAACTTGGCTTCTCAATTCGATCTTCTCACATCATGGGGCATCGCGTGCTCGCGGCGCTGCTTGTGCTGCATGCTGCTGCGCTCTATTTGTTCACTACAGGCTTCTTTCTCACCCGCTTCGAAGTGTCGGATCTCAGCAGTTGCCAAGCGTCTCCATCAGATATCAACGCTGTGCCAACGCACCTCCGTGGCGGTCATGAAGAAGACCTTCCCAGCTCCGACGACGGTGCGTCCGAAGGTTGCTGGATGCCTCGACGCTTCCGCCGCGTTGTTTTCGTGGTGATTGACGCGCTGCGATTCGACTTTGCAGCCACCGGTTCAAGCGCTCAACAGTCGTCGTTTTATAGCGATCGACTACCGATTCTTAATGAAACTTTGATCAGTGAACCGGAGCATGCGTTGCTGCTGAAGTTTGTGGCCGACCCACCCACGATGACCATGCAACGATTAAAGGGCTTAACTACTGGATCGCTGCCGACTTTCTTGGATATTAAGGACAATATGGCAGCTAGCAGTCAGATTGTGGAGGACAATTTGCTGCGTCAACTGCGTGCTCAGCAACGCGGCGTGGTGTTCATGGGAGATGACACGTGGGACTCGCTGTACGCTCGGGAGTTCACGAGGAAATTTGCTTTCGACTCGTTCAATGTCAAGGATTTGCACTCGGTGGATCGTGGAGTGACGAAGCACCTATTTCCTGAGCTGCAGAAGCCGGACTGGGACTTGTTGATCGCGCACTTCTTAGGAGTCGATCATGTCGGACATACACATGGACCCAGCTCTGTCTTTATGGCTGAAAAACTGGATGAGATGAATGGTGTTTTAAAGAAGTTGTTGCAGACGCTGAAAGAAATGCCTGATGGGGATGACGTGCTGTTGGCTGTGCTGGGAGACCACGGCATGTCGGCTGACGGTAACCATGGTGGCGCTAGTGATGAGGAGACTGGTGCCGCGTTGTTCCTATACAGCAAGGCAGCACTTGTTGCTACTGGAAGGGAAGATGATAGCGAAGACGCAAAGGAGATGAAGAAATATGCTGAGAGAATACTTGACAGTTCACGAGAAGTGCCGCAAGTGGACTTAGTTCCCACACTAGCGCTGCTAAGCGGTTTACCTATTCCGTTTGGTAACCTGGGGAGTGTGATTCCGTCGCTGTTTTTCGTACCTCCAACATCAACTGAGAGGGGCGGAAGCAGCGCGTTATCCGCGTTCCAGTCGCTGAATCGGGCTCTACGACTAAACCTTGATCAGGTGCGGCGTTATCTTTTCAGATACTCGTCCGCTTCCAAGCTGCCTGAGCGAGCGTACGATCAGCTCGAGCGAATCTTTGTGGATATCAAGCGTATTGAAGACCAACTTGAACAGGTACAAGAAGGTGACACATTCTCGAAGGCAGACCTTCCGCTGTTGTTGCGACTCCACGAAGACTTGGCTAAGCAACAGCACCATTATCTGCGCGAAGCGTTGTCATTGGGACGCTCCATTTGGACACAATTTGACTTGTGCAGCATGGGCTGGGGGATGGTGCTTCTCGCGTGGTCGTTCTTTATCGGCGCTACATCCACTAGACTTGTAAGTGCTTCAGGTGAAGGCAACTCATGGAGCCCTCCGCTAAGCGTTGTCGTGCTTGTCGGAGGCTTGCTCTTCTTTTGTCCAGCAGGTATAAATCTACCACTCCTCCCCGCAGCTCCACTTTCGCGAGGACTGGTAGCAGCTTCTTGTGCCGGTCTGATTGACATGACTTGGTACCTTTTGGCTCGAAGACAAATCAGAGCTACCAGGAGTATTCGCAGTCCAGCAACAAGTGGAAGAACACTGTTTTCTTCTGTTTCAGCGGCGGGGGTGGTAGCTGCTCTTATTGTGATACTTCATGCGTTAGCTCTGCTCTCCAACAGCTACATCGTAGCCGAGGGCAACGTTATGCAATTCCTGTCGGCGACGACTGGGTTCTTCTTGCTCACATGTGCGCAGCGCTTAACTGATCACCGAAGTGCTGCCACGGGTGCTGCGCTAGCTTTCATTTTTGCAACACGACTGAGCAGCGCACTGGAACCACCCAATATTATCAAGGCGACTGCGACGTTGGGAAGAACTTTTGCTCCGTTGACTGCGATAGCAGTACTCGCTGTTGGATCTTCCGTTCAAACGGTCAAGTACACCGGACACAAGCTGTCCCTGATGAGCCGACTAATCCTCGTATCGTCGACGGCGAGCTATTTGGTGTGCGCGATCTTTTGGGCTGCTTCGCCCATACAAGTGTCCTTCTGGAGGATGTGGCTACCGCGCATCGTTTACTTGATCTTCCTGGGAACGCTGGTTTGTCTTCTGGTGCGCGTACTTCGACAACCAAAGTACCAAAGTGGCAACGAACTCTCAAGGCATGAACATCTTCTCTTGCTCTGGCAGCTCGTTCCAGCGTTTATGTTAGTGCTTGGGCCTACATCACCGCTGTCAGTGCTGTGTCTCGTGGCACAATGTCTGAGCTTCTCGTTTATTGTCACGTGTTGCCGATCCGCTTCTCCGACAACATTCGGAGACATCACGCCCTGGGTGTTGCTCTGGGCATCATGTTCCTACCAAGCGTTCTTCACAAGTGGACACGCCAACACATTCACGAGTTTGCAGAACGCAGCGGGCTTTGTGGGGTTCGACACCTTCAATTTCTACATCGCGGGAGCTTTGCTTGGTCTCAATACTTTCGGTTGCTTCGCGTTGGCTGTACTGGCGCTGCCTTGGCTAAACTGGAGGCAGCACCAACCCCAGTCGAGTGGAGTCAATACGCTTCTCGCATTCCCGGCCTATTTCTCGCTTAACGCATTAGTGTCAACACTATTTGTCGCGCTACAGCGAAGGCATCTGATGGTTTGGGCCATCTTCGCCCCCAAGTTCATCTTCGACGGAGTAGTGTTGCTGGTCACAGAGTCTCTGCTGCTTCTACTGCTTGCACCGTTTTCAAATCAGGAGTCGATCAAGTCGCATAGATTAGAGTAAGTAAGTTGGAAAGCATCTTACATTAAAACATTTCTCGGGCCCCTACCTTTCACCGCATGGTCGTAGTCATAGCGTGCACAATGGCATCATTCAACTCATCGCTGTGCGCTTCATCATTTCTTCCCAACTCACTGGTAGGCACTGCAACTTCGCGAATACCGTTGCACGATACCATGACACATTCACGCATGGAACTTGGATCGGTAGCGACTGGTTCCTCGATGTAAAATCCTTCAGTGATCGTCTCCCACGGTGGCGGTGCCAGTGGGATGCTGCTTGGAATGGTGACCCCTTCGTTAGCACAAAGCCTAACCAGCTTCTTGAACGAAGTCTCTCGCACGTTGCAGCTTGAGCATAGTAAGCACGAGTATACCACCAACGCATCGTTAGCTTCTGTCCGAGCCGGGTATTTGGGAGTGAGTAGTGAAAGAGCTCCACAGTTTGCACAGTTGCAAATTGTGATGTGGCCCTTGTACTGCTGGTATAAACGAGCAACCAGTGGCGTCAACAGCGTCTCCAGCGATGTAACTGTGTCGAATTGGTAGGCAGCATCAGCCACACTGGATGACCCTCGAGCTCGCAACTTCATGGTAATAATTTTGGCACGGCTAGAGTGCATTGAAGCGCCAACAGCGACGACATCCCGAAGATATCGGGTAATGATTATCGGATCCTTGTCGTCACTGACAGTAAATCGTTCGATCAATTCTCGAGACTGCAGATATTACACGATAGCATGCTCAGAGTAGCAATAAAGTATGATGATGCCTCTTGAGAAACCACATACCTTAATTTCTACGTTTGCTGGGACACCATCGATCCCGAAGTGGAGATCAAGCTCAGCAGCCTCTTTTGCACTCAACAGTACTCGAATGCTGATGCTTCGTCCAGGTTTCTGTAATGCGCACAATAATAAGTTCGCAGTTGTGAGAACAAGATAGCATGTGAACAAGTACGGATATTGCTGTACCTGAGGGCTGGATATCTGCGTTTGAGAGGTGGAGCGAGCGACAAGGGCGTCCAGATTGTCAACATCATTTCCTTCCCGTGCAAGCAGCTCTTCCTCCTCGAAGTCGCGCATAAAGTCACTTGCCGTATATTTGCGACTGCGTTTTCGAGTCGATCCCGTGTTGGAGTCATCACTGTCCTCCTCCTCTAATTGCAGTACAAACTTTGAGCATAAAACCACAGTTAATGCTCGCTAGAATGACGTACCACTGGTTGTAAGTTGGTCGTCACTTTGCCTCCTTTCCTTCGTGACAATAACATCCCGCTGCGTTCTAAAGTAGTCGTCTACTGTTAGAATTGGCGGCCTCGTACTCTGCGAGCCTTGGTTGTTCACTGATGTCTTTGCTGCATTTCCTCCGCTCTCTGTGCTGTTTCCACCAGTATTATCCACATTATTGCACTTGGTCGGTAGTGTGGACGGTGGATTTTGTATTTCGACAAAATGAGCAGGAACAGAGTGAGCTTGAGGCAATGGCGGGTATCCCAACACAAGCTTGGGGCTCATCATGGCAATGCCACTCTGGACACGAACTCTGGGGTACACAGGAGTACCCATCGACTGCCCCCAGATGCTGCTTTCCATGCCATTACGCTCTTTCACGTCATCCAGCATCATCAGCATACGACGGTTTTTCATGCTGCTCACCTCCGCGTCACTCCAGCGCTTCCCGTCCAATTCTATTGGCTCCCCCAAGTAGAACAACACTTCTCGTCGGTAGTCTGGCCGCCGTGCAATCGGGTTGAACTCCATTTTAACGTAGGTGAGCCGCGGTAAACTCGTCAGCAGCTCCACTTCCGTGAAATCGTCAATCAAATTGTGCGAGACATCCAGTCGCTCCAGCGCTGTAAGCGTCTCCAGTCCCTTCAGCGACGATATCCGATTGACTGCGAGATCCAGCTCTCTCAAAGACCGTAGCGACTGAATCGGTGGTACGTGATGTAGCTGGTTGTGACACAAATTCAGTACTTGAAGCGACCTCGTGGTCAGATTAGTCTCCACCTTCTCGATCTTGTTCCAGCCCAAATCCAGCGTCTTCGCGGCTTTCAGCAGGTTCACCGACTCATCCAGCACGTACAACTCACAGCAGTTCATCTGCAGCTTCTGCAGTTTCCTCCACGGCTTCTGTTCCTCCTTCTTCGGTGCCAGCAACTGCCTCAGCGTCGCCACCTCAGTATGTTCAATATGCAGCTCCTTCAACTGGTTTGCAAAGTAGTGAACGTTCTGCAGGCCCCTGGTCTCTGTGTTGAGCACCTCAATGACTCGCAAAAACGGGAAGATCTCCACCTCAATAGGGTTTGTGTGCGCTTCCTCGGTCTGTGACTGATGCAGTCGCAGTCTCTGCACCTCCCGCAGGATCGTGGACAGCTTAAGCACTTGGATGTGGGCGCTAGACTTAACTTTAAGCTGCAGCTGCGGCTGGATGGTCCAGGCCTGTATGACGCGCGTCTCGGCGTCGCGCTTAGGCACGAGGGTGTCATTCAAGCGGAAGGCCAAGCGGTCTACCTGCGCGGCGCTAAGAACGAGGAATTGCTGGCCTAAGGACGTCGCGTGCTGCTGTAGCGTCTCCTCCAGCGTCTTGAGAAAGGTCTCCTCACCCAGAGAATCGTCCACGTAGATTCCCAGGTCGACAGAGGCAGGAGCGGGGCGATCGGAGACACCCCTGCCAAGTAGTGCCCTCACTTCAAGGCGATCCATCCCCAGTTGCAATTGCAATGTGTCGTGATTTTCGACGCAAAGCCGATGGATGTGACATGAAATGGGTTGAAGCAGAATTGGTGAAATATCATTTTTCACAGATTTAAGCCGGTGTAAATGGTGAAATGCCTGTATAATCCTGCTAAAACCTTCGTAAATTACGTTTATCACACAAATTAAAACAAAAACCGGTATAAAAACCTCTTCAATATTGCCGTGCCGGTATTTGCCCCGCGCAAAAATCTTGCTCGAAGAAGGAAACCCAAAGCGAGTCCCCAGCCACCCCGCCCTCCGCCCTCTTCCCGACGCGTAAACGCGCCACGAGAGGACAGCACAAGGGGGAAAGGGAGAACTCCCCTAGAGGAAGGACGGCAGGCGACGACGGCCAGCGGCGGCGGAAGAGGAAAGGCGTCGGACGCAGTAGCAGCAGTAGCAGGAAGAAGTCCAAGGCTTGTCGCAACTTAATCGCTCGTAGTCGAAGTAGTAGCGACAGCAGCAGCAACTCGAGTGGTGGCTGCAGCAACTTACACAGCGACAGTAGCAGTAGCAGTTCGGGGCTGGGCGACCGCAGCCTCGCGACCGCCTGCACGATACCCGGTCCACCGAGCGCCAGCCAAAGCCCCTCGACTAGCAGCGGCGGGCAGGAGAAGAAGCTGCACGTGCGTTCCATGGATCGAGCGCCCGCCCAGGACAAGGACAGTCAAAAGCGACGTAAAAAGAGCCAGGAGAGCACAAGCGGCCACGCAACAGACATGGAGGAAGAGGAGCTCGAGCTCTTCCACGTGGTGCAGGAAGATCTGCGCCACAAGTCTACAGTGGGCTGGCAGAACGCCGTCAAGGTGCTTAACTCGGCCTATCAGCATATCGATCGGCCCGAAAGCCAGGCCTTCCTGGACGACGCCTTCCAGAAGATCATCAGCATCATGCTGGACCAGCAGTATGTGTTGCCCTTAGCGTGTATCCGGTTGCTGCTCTTCTCTAACCTTTGTATGTGTCGCTTTATTGCTACTGCAGTGCCAGCAAGATCGGATCTTTCGAAAAGTCGTGCGTGACGCAGTGTTTGTCACTCGCAGTGCCGCTGGTGATCGCGCAGATGAAGGCGGGCAAGTATTTCCAGACACTGCTAGTGTTGACCATGATCTTCAGCAAGAAAAAGACTTTCTACAAGGACTTGCGCACCTCGGCGATGATTGGCAGCTATTGGAACAAGGTGCCCGGGTCGCCTGAAGTGCGAGCGCAGTGCATCGAAGCGTTCTGCGAGATGAAAGGATTCCACTTACTGTTGAGCACATTGGAGCTGCTGATGCAGAACCACCGCGAGGGAGACGAACTCGAGGCGGCGATGGACAGTGAGGATATTCGTATCTTGCTGCAAGCGTTGCTGGAGTTCCGAACATCTGTCCCGGAGACCATCTGCACTAAGATCTCGGTGCTGATCATGACGTACTTCACCAAGATATCGGACTCAGTGCTGAAGAAGGAGTCGAGCGACGCTGTGGGCACCGTGATCGGCATCATTCGGAGGCTGGTGGATGCTGGTATTGTGCCGTCCGAGGCTATCAATGCGCTGTGGCTTGACATTACAGAGAGATACGTGGAGTCCACTTCCCTGCCTCTGCGACTCTTTGGCTTGGAGCAAATCAACCAGATCGTGAATTGTGCCCGAGCATCGCGAGCATTCCCGCCTCGATACTTTGTGCGAAATGCCGGCACTGCTGCCGTTAACGGTGTGTACACGTTGAAGGCCAACTCGACGTCGGCAACTTATGTATTCAAACAGCAAGAAACGGGTCAAGTGTTTACGCTCTTCTGTTGCACGATGAAAAGCGGTTTGAAGTGGTGGTTTATCTCGGAGGCTGACAAGATGCAGCCTGGATCGGACCAAGATATTGATTACTACCAGCACCAGTCGCAGTACGAAGAATACCTGCCCCCTACGCACAACTGGATCCCCACCGGAAAGGGAGAGGCTCCAGCCCCCGAACTTATCGCAGAAAGCGTTCAGGAGAATGGCGATGAAGACCGCACCCGACTGGACTACATCTTGAGTGCTTGGGTGGTGGAGAAGAAGATTCTCGAGGAGATTTTTGGTGACCGAATCCACCGTGAGATTGTGTCGCGCAGTGCGTTGCTGGTCAAGTTTTTGGCGGAGTCCAACAAGTTGGATACGCACTCTATTGACGTGATTTGGCAGTCATGTATCCAGAAAGATCAGACGCTGGTGCACGAAATCCACAATTTACTGATCGCCACGGTGCCATTTTTGTCGAACGAGCTGCTATTGCATCTGGTGGAAAGCATCCATGCCTCGTTATTGCAAAACCTGGAAAAGAACGAGCCTTTCCCGGAGTTGATTTCGTTCTTACAGCGGCTGGCGACCAACTCGCCGAGCTTTCTTATGGAGCGCAATGTGAACGTCACGACGGCGATCTTGCAGCTGCTCTGGTCGATTCAAATGCACTGCAGTATCGCCAACATTCGACTTAGCAGGAGTTTGCGCGATTTCTTCCAAGAAGGGCTGCGTAGCGAATACGGTGAGCCGCTCCGAAAGGCGTTCTTAAGCGAATGCATTGAGGGAATCAAGAAGTCTTGCTCGCTATCAAGCTCGGTGCCAGATTCTGCTCCATCTCCGACATCAACATTGATCCCCCCGGCGCCTAGCAGCAGCAGCTCAGTTACGTCATCTACTTCAGCAGAGTTATCGAGCAAGAACTCGACGGCTTCTAAATCGTTGGAGCTGCTTAAGTTCCTGATCGACTCGTATCGAGTTGATCAGGCGCTTGTGGTAGAATCGCTCAATTCAGAGCACGGGTTAGTGAGCTTGCTATTTGACGAGCTGGCGACTTTCGTGGCACGGAGCACGGATAAACAGTCTCCAAGCTATCGCACGGCTATCGGTCATCGCTTAGAATTGATTCACTATATTCACGTCAAGTCACCAAAGCTGGAACTCTCGATCCCACAGATTGAACGACTGTGGCAAGTACTCTCGTCGTCACCTGCTGAGCGCGAGTTCTGCTTGATATTTTTCAACCAGACAAGCATGCGGAGCGGAGCAGCACCTGGTGCTAGCACTGTCGGTGGGTCGATTAGCTCGGCCTTCAACTTGGATGTATGCTTCTACGTCTTCAAGGAGCTCCTGTGCAAGCAAACTGATTTCCGAACGCTAGGATGCATGGGCTACAAGTGCTTTAACACCTACTTCGTGGGTCTAAACGCTCAACACAAATTGATGCAACAAACCGAAGAATCGTTGGAAACGGGCACGCTGAATCTACTGGGAATGGATGCTCTGTGGCGTATCGCGTTTGAAGCTCCTCTTGAAGTTGCCGAGATGGCTACACGTGAGTTGCTTCGGGTTTATGAGCGATCGTCAAATGAGATCACTCACATTGGTGAAAGCGAATCAGATGAGAGCGTGAAGGATTTCTTGGCGCGTGTATTTAAACAGCTGTCCACAGTGGAAGACAGCACACCAGACTCACTGAAGCTAGTGCAGCAGTGCTCAAGTCTGTTGGCAGGACTGGTGTCAAGTGCTCGCAAGAAGCAGAATTTTGTTCCGCATGGCCTAAGCGGTCGCGGCGCGTACTTTACCATTAAGGTGATCGCGCAGCGAATCCCTTCGTCCAATACAAGCGGGGCGGGAGTTTCGGCGACTGCAGCCTCAAACCACGATAATGCAGTGCGAACAATGCAGGCATCAGCATACTCGAACCAGACGTTGTGGCAGTTCCGCAAGCAGATCGAGAAGTTAGTGGGTCATCCTATGCAGCAGACGAAAATCCTCTCGTCAGGATCGGCGATCACGGGCGATCAAAAGACACTGGCGGACTTGCAGATCACGGAGTCCAGTGAGTTGCGCGTGCTGATGTTCAACTCGGTTGTGCAGCGTTCTAGTTCCAGTGTGATGGACCAGGATCAAGTGATGACTTCGACAGGCAAGGACTCACCGGCTTCTCCTTCGTCTTCGTCGATAAAGCATCACCCAGGCTTAGTGATTGCTCGAGATGCCTCGTACTTCGGGATCATGTTCCGCGTACTCGACATCGTGGAGGGCCATCCTGTCCACGAGTTGCTGTGGGCCTTTTTGAAGCAAATCCCTACTAGTGAAGAACTTCTGAATCGTGTTTCCAACATTGGCGCGACTGAGACGAGTGACGGAGATGTTAATATGAGCTCCCCCTCGAACGACATGGGCAATGGAGGAAGCAAGCCTGATTGGTCGTCGTTGCTGAAGGGAATCTCGTCTCATCAAGCTATTTACACGCTACAAATTATGGACGCGCTGCTGCTACCGTCAGATGCCGCGAAGGCACCATTTGCACAGACGTACCTTCAGCGATTCATTTCTGGAGGTGGTTTCCATGAAGTGCTCTCTTATTTTATTAACGCCAACTTCCACGAGAGTTCCTTCAATGAGGGTGCTGCGGTGGCTCTCCGTATCCTGAAGTTTTGCTTATTCGACTCGGGCCACGATAATGGGCTATATTCGGCTACTGCAAACGGAGAAGTCCCGGCTGAGGTATTTTCCTTGAGCGATTCGCAGACTGGATCAGGCGAGAATGCGGAGACGCCGAGAGCAAAAATTATTGTGGAGCAAAGTCGCTATGATCAGTTGGTGCTGAAGATCGCAGAGCTCGTTGTGTCTGAATTCACGCGCATCGAGGAGAAAAGCCCTGCAAAGAAGACGGCGTATCGTATCTTGATCGACGCCGTGAAGACCGTGGAATCGATCGTGTCCATTGCGAACGATGCTGCGGCCAAGTACATTAAGGCGCTGGAGCCTCGCGCTATCATTGTGAATATTTTTACCAAGTTTGAATCGGAGCAAGTGCGGGACCAGTGGCTCTCATCATTGGAGTCCGTTTGCAAAGCGTCCGACGCAGCAGCCGAGGTCGTCTTTGAGGAATCCATCCAATCTGTCGATCGTATCGAAAGTGTGAGTGCGCCGTGTGACCAGTACACGCGCATGCTGTGCTCGTTGGCACGTCTTGAGGGTGGCAAGTCGTCTTCCTACTGTCAAAAGCTTGCCCAAGCTGTAGTGGCAAAGCTGCGTCGCGGGTTTTCGAGCAAATTCCTGGCCTGTAACGAGCGTTCGGGCGAAGTCCTAATTGGGTTCCTGGAGTTCTTGCGTGAAGTGCTAGTGGTACATGCCGATGTACGAGTCGGAATCGCCCGCGATATCGTAGACGTCGTTTACGAGGAGTGTTTATTCACGCTGCCATCTGAAGATCGCCGTCGCTGTCCGTTGTGCGTGTCACTGGAGACGCGACGTCCTGCGTTCAAGCTGCTTGCGAGTGCGATCTCTTCAGATGCCAGTATCTTGCATGACTTGCATGGTCGCCTGACCAAGTTGTTCACGCGGAGTGACGCGCTGCGGTTCAAGTGGGGCCAAGAGAACAACATTGAAACGCGTGGTAACGGTGAGCACGTCGGACTCAAGAACCAAGGCTGCTCGTGCTACATGAATTCCTTTTTGCAGCAGTTGTTCATGCACCCTACATTGCGCCAAGGATTATTAGGTGCCAAGGTGGCACCTCGCCCCACTCCTCAGGAGCCCACGAAAGCAGAGGCAGAGAAGTTTCCAGAGCGCTTGGTAGGCTGTCGTGTGGCGCTGGAGTGTTTGGGCGGCCGAGTCTACGAAGCAAATGTCATTGGATACGACGATCTGACAGGGCAGCATACGATGCGATACGACAATGGCGGCGAGGCGACCTTCATGTTGGCAGAGGGAAGGCCAGGGAATGAGAATGGTCGCTATGTGATTTTGCAACCGGAGTTGACGGGCACTGACGCGACGTTGGAGGTTCTTCGTCAGCTTCAGCGCACGTTCTGCTATCTGCGTGACAGTGAGATGCGCTACTTCAACCCGAAGGCGTTTGTGGACTCGTGTACTTGTCTGAATCTCGAGTTTTCGGTGTATCAGCAGAACGATGCGACTGAGTTTTGTGATAAACTGTTGGATCGTCTCGAGACGGGTCTGAAGACGACACCACAAGGCACACGGTGTCTGCAGGACGTGATGGGCGGGAAACTTATTTCTCAAAAGCTTCCGAAGGATTGTGGACACCGATACGAACGTGAAGAGCCATTTATTCGCTTAGAATTGCAGATCCGTGGGAAGGAAAGCATCGAGGAATCGCTTTCTGCGTTCGTTGAAGGGGAACTCATGGACGGCGACAACAAGGTCGAATGTGAACTATGTGCTACGAAGAAGGCAGCTGTGCGGCGAACGTGCTTCGGTTCGCTTCCGAACTTGCTGATTCTTCACTTGAAGCGCTTCGATTTGGACTACACGACCTTCGAGACGGTCAAGTTGAACAATCGGTGCTCGTTCCCTATGCGTCTGAGCATGAAACCATACACCAAGGCGGGCATCGAAGAGCAGGAAGCACACTCTAACTTGCAACAAGAGCGTGAAGATACGTCGGCTGACGAAGACATGGCGTCTGATGACTCAAGTGACTCAGACGAATTTATGGCTGACGTGAATGGTGACACGCCTGCGATCCCAACTTCCTCAGCGTCACCTAGATCAAGCATTAAGCTCACGTCCCCACGGAGTGTTAGCAAGAGCGACGGCGAGGACAGAAACAACACCAAGTCGGATCCTAACTACGAATACCGACTGAAGGGTATTCTGGTGCACTCTGGAGTCGCCCAAGGGGGACACTACTATTCCTTCATCTACGACCACATGTCTGAGAAGTGGTTCAAGTATGACGACGAGGATGTGACGCCGTTTGACCCAGCCAACATTGAGGCTGAGTGCTTTGGAGGAGTGCAGCGACGCTCGTGGCACGGTTCGAACAATTCTATGGAGATGGAAGTCTTCAGCAACGCGCTTATGCTATTTTATGAAAAGGTTATCCCCGTCGAGCCTGAGGCGACACCAGCCACTGACTCTGAAGCGTCTACGCTAGTTGCTGCTGCTCCGGATGAAGAGCGCTGCGAGTACGAAGCGGAAGTGTGGAAGTCCAACGAGATATTCCTGCAAAACTCATACCTGTTCGATGTGGAGTTCCACGAGTTCTTACGCGAGATGGTACAGTCCCAATACATTAAAGACACCCCCGTCTCAGCGGAAGATGACGTACCCATGACTCTCTCGCCATCACCAGAGTCAAACGACGTGACAGCTCCACCGGCTGCACCGGTGGCGCTAGCTGTTCCTGCAGTGGCAGCCGACGAAGAAATTCAAATGACGCTAACGGAAATCGGCGTCGAGTTCGTGCTGAGTGTATTGCTGCATTCGCGTGAAAAGCATGGGATCGCGCGGTGGATCACGGTGCTGGCGTCCAAGTTCACGCGATCCAAGGCTATCTGTGTCCGCTTCTTCTCGGCTCTATCGACGTCGAAGCGCATTCTCTGGTTGCGTGGATTGCTGTTCGAGTGCCCTGATTCGATTGCTCGTCAGTCCTTTGTTCACCTCGTTTCACGAGCACTTACAGCGTACGAGGTGCACCGGAAGGAAGAACAAACTACTCTGGATGAAGCGAAGGCAGAGGCAGCGGCTGCAGCTGATACAACTGTCACCCGTGCGTTTTTGGAGACCATCGCTACTTTCTTGGATCAGACCTCCATCATGCAGCAATCCCATTTGGAAGAATGTTTCATGCTGCTGCGCAATTGCGCGGAGATCAGTGCCACGGCGAGGACTCAGCTTCAACAACTTGAGATGATTGCACGCTTGATCAATTTTTTCCTATGTGATCGCGGCCCGAGCGCGCTAAAAGATGCCTTCCCGTCCTCGACATTGCAGCCGACGGCTTCACGGTACGCGTCCCCGGACTACCAGTACTTGCTGGAGGCTGTTATCGCGATTCTAGGTCTTCCAAGGCGTACAACCGAGCCCCTACTTACAGAAAGTAGCACGCAGTATCCGCACCGCACGGTTCTTTCGGAGAAGGCTGAGCAGGCTCTAACTGAAATCTTCGAGGACTACCAGACGCCGGGGGGCGCGGATGGCAACCCTGGCTTGGGTCTCGAAGAGCTCAAGAAGTTCTTCTCTGTGTCGTTAAGCAGTGCGACAACCAGTCCTGCTGTGGAGCAACAGGCTCGTCATTTGCTATCCAAGTACGGCACACCAGTCGACGACACTGCAAAGGACGAGTTGGAAGCAACTGCGTCACGTGTGGAGCTTGATGGATTCATGCTTTATTATACGGATATGGCAGCGTCGTCGACAAAGTCCGTGCTACAAGATCTACGCACATTCGGCTTCAGCGAGGACCTCCAGCGACACTCGATGTGTAGCGGAGACCTGCCCACCGGAGCTCAGGTACTTGAGGGGTTGAGTCCTCTGAGTCGTGGTGCGTTACTAAACGACGTGTTCTTCGACTCGGCGCTCGAGGAAGAAGCAGAGACGACGTGTGAACTATTGTTGCGGCTGAGTTTGGGAGACCACGAGACGTCCACGCGGTTGTTGCGTGCTCTTCTGCACTGCCTGCAGAGCACGGAGACTGGATGGAAGGGGCAGCCTGTGGTGGACGCCTGCGCGCTAGCAGTGCAGCGAGTGCTGGGCTATGAATGTGATTATCAGAAAGAACTCGTGGAGCTTGCACTGATTCACAGCGACTACGGCTTGCTCAGCTCCGCGCGCAGCCGAGAGAACCTGCGCTCACGTTACGTGAATACCGCGCACGTCCCTCTGTTTGTTTACCGACAATTGGTTCTAGTGTTGGAGCTGCGTGCGCGTGTACCGGCAGTCAGCGCTTGGCTAGCAGAGCATCGCAGCAAGTGGGAGTGGCTCTATGAATGGCTGCGTCTTGAGTCATTGCAGCCTAGTCTGGGTGGACGTCTTTCCCTACTGAGACGCGAACCAGCAAAGCTCGAGATGCTCTGGAGGTTGGGCGAGGCGCTGGGTATCCCGTACCAGGAGGAACAGCGGCGATACGTGGTTGAAGGCGCCGGATACGCTCCTGTCAACGGCGTGTATGTAAGCACGTCTCACGTCCACGACAACTGCTTGACTTACGCTTGTGTGAAGAGCGACATCGAGTACACGCTGTTCCGCTGCTGCATGCCCAGTAAGGCTCGTCGCTGGTACATTTCATACTCTCCTAACAAGAACCTGCTCGGAACGATGTCGGACGAAGATTTCTACTTTGTTCAGTCGCACATTGACGACGAGTCTCCACCGGTAGATGGTTGGAAGGTCTGGGTGAAGAACGAGAAGGCCAAACCGCCGGTGCCAACGGTGCGTCTCTACAGCTCGACGGTGGCGGCTCTAGATGGGGAAGGAGACGCTGCAGATGCGTCGGACGCTGTGGAAGGCTTTATGACTGGAGGCGGCTTCGATGACGGCTCGAGTGCCCCGACCGCGCCGTCGTCCGACATGGTCGTTGAGACTGTGGATGTAGACGCGGACGCAGAGACGGTGGAGTATGACGACAGCGAGGACGAAATCCGCGACAGTAACGAGCGATTCCGAGCCGTGCATTTGGATACACAGGAAGACGGCAGCAGCGCGGACGACTTCATGTAAGCGAACTCGAGGAGAGTAACATTATGTAGCCTTTTGCCACTCATCCCGGCTGCACGGCATAAACTCGAGTGCTGGGTGGGCCGGAGGGATTTCAGGTTGGCGAAGGGAGGTGCCTTTGTGCGGTGAAGATTGATAAAGAAAAACAAATTACCATTTTTACGTTGAAATCGCGGGTTGTTTCTGGCTTATCATGCAAGTAGTATTACCTGCATCGTTTCTTGCTGATCTGCAGCTCGGTAAAGTTTTTTTTTTATTCAAATGTGAACAAATTTTCTACGTGATGAAGCTTGAAGTTGCTGCATGCCAAGATCAGAGCCCTTCTCTGCGTTTCGATGAACGAACGAGCTCCTTCTCACAGGATGGCCTTGGCACGCGCTATCCATGTAGCTTTGCAGTTGAAGCAATAAACGCTTCACGGTTTACCACCTTTTACCATTTTTTGCCATCTTTTGGCTCATCATTTGGGGCGCCTCCTCTTCATGGCCATGTGCACGACGAAGCTGACCAACGGACGACCTGCGCGGAGCCTTGTCATGACACACGCAGGTTTTTGTCTCTCTCGTCCTCTTCAACTTTACCGAGTCCGTAACCGACCTCTACAAGCTCTTCGGCATCTGCTTTCCGAGATCGCGAGGATATATCTGTAGCCACTTGATCAAACGCACACATTGTGATCCAGATCTCCGTATCCGCTGGTCATCGCCTCTTGTGCCATTCATTCGAACAGGAATGACCTACGCATGAGCCACATGGCATCATGGACGCCAACAAGGAGGATACCGTCGAACAAATGTATGCTAGCTCATAACTACACCTAGGTAACCACCACGAAGCCAGCAACGCACCGTCATAGGAACCCGGATCTGTATGGGCAGATCACGGGCAAATTTTGAAAGGCTTTTGAGTTCCCATGAAAAATAGGCCATTATTTGTCAAAATTTGCCAATTGCTGAGTGAAACATGACTTTTACGCAGGATGGACGGACTTGGATCGGTTGGGTGGGTTGGCACCTTGGAAAAAAGTTCACGGGCAATCACCCTCGGCTTGCGTTACATCGGCCCGCCAGCACCATGGCGACTGGGTTTCGTCTCCACTGGTCGTGTCTCTGCTCGTCCTTCATGACACCAATGTGGCAGACAAGGCTAACCGATTGGGAAAACCAACCTTGAATCGTACATGAAACCAACACCGACATGATATAGGGAGCGCTTCACTCCAGCAGACACGAAAGAATGCGATGGGTAGGGTCACCACAGCAGGACTTGCAAACCCCATAAACCAAGGTGAAGGTGTCAATGTAGGCAATCAACAAATGAATCCGCTTGGACGCCCTCCAAACACATCGGCGGCAGGACAACCGCAGCGAAGCCACCCCTTGCGACCGCATGACATCCTCGAGATGGTACCTGCATTGTCTGCTTACAGCGTCAGCCCTGGGGCGTCGAGGCGGAGCCGCTGAAAAAAGTGTTCCCTCATCACGGGATCAAATTTAGAGATCGGACCAAGCCACTGGTGCTCGGCTTTTGCAAGCGCAGAAAATTTGCCACCAGAAAGTGCCACTCGCACGTCCGCCAAGTCCGTGCATCGGACCAAACAAGCCCAGCCCTGGAGCAAGAGCGGGCTCCGGCGCGGTGCAACCAGGACAGCCGACGCCCAGCTGGCTGCTCCGACCGGCTCCGCGGAATTTGTGCGGCGCCACGAACGTCGAACGCCCAGCAGTTGAAAGTTACAGATGAATCAAGCGTAGTCGCTCGCGTTGGTGTTTGTCTCGGGGTTATGCGGGTCTGGGAGCCCCGTCAAGTAATCGGCTTTTGTAGATTCAGCCCAACTTCACCCTAACTTGGAGATTTGGCTATGTCGGCAATGTTGTGATGTTGTACCTGAGCTCGTGCAACCGGACGATTTGCCACGTCTTTTAACGCCGGCGAAAAAAACGGCTGCGACTCCGAGTCACGCAGAGCGAGGCGCCGCTGGAGCTCCAGAGCTCCGGAGCCTCCGCTCGGCCAGTAGCACAACGCATTTCACTGCCATCGTCACAGGTCCCTGAGCCCCCAGAACTTCGTTGAAAACCAGCAGCTATCGCCCCAGAAGTCACTGGAAAGACACACTGCACCACCAAACAACGCAGTGAATCAAGCCTCACTTCGTGGAAAAGACCGACCCAGTTTCGTTCGCGCACATCAACAGCTCGCCACAGTTACAGCCACCGGTACTAAAGCGCCCAACACTCCTCCGCGTCCGTCCTCCCCATCTGCACTTTCGGATTCGCCTACTCTCACACAGACCGACTGAACTCTACCAAAGTCTTGTCTGCGCCGGTCAACCAAGCACCAACTCGAAACTTCCGCTGCAGTCTCGTCTCGACTGCAAGTAACACCAAGAAACCTCTACTCCTAGCAACCGATGGCGACTCAAATGGACCAGCTCCCGCAAGTGCCGCCCCCGGGCACCAGTCCGCGCTCCAGTAACTCGTGGAGTCGCTGCGACCAGGCTGTAGCTCGTATTGCCCCCATTGCCACCACCACGTGCCAGGTTTGCTCCAAGTGCATCGCAAAGGGCGAGTGGCAACTTGGACTCATGTTCATCCACGTTGAGGGCTTTATGCTCATGGAATGGTATCACCTGCAATGTTCCAAGTCGCTACAGGGCAGTGGCCTGAATGACGTTCTTCAGACCGTGCAGAGCGAGATGACACCGGCGCAGAAGAAAGAGTTCCAGCTGGCTTGCCAGAAGACAGCATGACTAGAAGATGTTATTCGATGTCGAGTGCCGTCCGAGTATCGTCACGTAGTCAAGTAGAACCCGTTTTGTCAATAAGCACAGTAGTAGACGCCTAGAGCGAAAAAGTAGATTGAAGAAACCAGTAAGAACATGCATCAAGCTAAATGTAAGTAGTATCAACGCATCGTACTTTATAAAATACTCTTGAATTCTTAGATCCTCACAACCGAGACACCCATTCCATCCTGGTGTTACCAGACCTCTGGTTTATCGTGGAAATATCGCCCTTTTACAACACAGATTCTGCGGTGGAGATCACCACGCCAAGCAGTCAATACTTTTAGGATACTTACCACTAGTATTGAATTCTAAGAAAAATACTTTTTCAGCAGGCGAGTAAAGTTACGCAAGGTTACAACACAGACAATACACACTACTTGCACAATCACACGGTCGAGTACATATAGAAAAGCACAACCTGAGTAGAGATTACCTAAAATCAATCATTATAAAAAAACTGCGTGAATATTTTTTATTTAAGTTGTATTAAATAAGATTATTCATTAAATTTTAAATGAGGTGCATGTTTTGATGAAATATTTACCTTTGGAAGATTAAAAATCAGCAGGAAATATTTTTTTGCACCCGGCAAGCTCGCTAGGCTGAGGAAGTATGAGCAGATTATCTTCTTCCTTGGCGAGCCGTCGGCTTTGGGGTGCTGTTCAGTGGAGTATTTCTGTCGACATGAAGTCTGAAGCGGTTAAAGTATTATTATAATATTGCAAGCTTGACGCCATTGGACAATAAAATTAAATGGATGATGTTGCAGGCCAGGATTATTTACATGGGTGTGTACACGTCTGAGGCCAGGATTAATCCTGGATGCTAAATCCCATCTTAAATGACTACCCATATGGGGAAGATACGAGAAGGTTTGTTGAGGACGCGGAAGATTCGTAATGTGTGGCTGTCCGTTGTCCAGGATTAATCCTGTCCGTTTACATGGATCAATCATGGAACTACACAATGGTTTGTAATGTTTGCAGCAATGTGCAGGGTTAATACTGTGATCATCCAAGATCCATGCCAAGATTCGGACTTTTGTCACTAGATGAATGGATCCTTGCCCTCAACTTTGCTAAAGCTGCTCGACCTTCTTCTAATGACGAAAATGTGAAATGTATTGTGATAAAACACGCATTCATTATGGTTAATCCTACCTACGGAGTCTACGAGTCCTTCTCATGCGTTTACTTCTCTGCACGTTGTGTAGGCGGAAGGTCATCGTCATCGCTGTCCCCGCCGGCAGCTGTAGAGGCACGCATCTTCTCCTCCGTGTCGTCGCTTGTCATAGTGTCTGCTGAAGTCGGTCTCTCCAGAGGAAGAAGGCATCCCGACAGCAGGTAGTAGAAGAGCTCGAAGCGGCGTTTTTTAGCGACGCTTCACTAATGTCCAGGTGCCGGCCAGTCAATACTTGGCGCACGAACATCCAGCAGACGTAAACTCAACAGCTATGCCCATCGAATTGGATGGGATTGTTCTGTGCGATCACGTCGTACTCGTGCAGCCCGCTTATCTTGAGATTTGTATCCACAGCTTTAGCGGTGTTGTTGTAAGCGGCTTGATTCATCGGGTCATAGTAAAAGATACGCTTCGCACCAACTTTAATCACCACACAACACCAGTGAAAGTTGTCGAAATTCAACGCCAGCATAACAGTATTCACCCCCCTCTTCGCAACTTGCTGTAGTACACGCTTTCATACAGCTTCTTCAATCGGCCGTTCTTTGGCGTTTCGCTTACGCCTCGTGGTAGCAACACATGGCAGAAATCCGGCAAAACGAGAGGAGCAGTAGTCGTTTGTAAGCCGCCAACACAACGCTAGTATGGCTGCGTCCGTCAGCCACATTGGTGGGACAGCTCTATATAGCATGGCGTAGCTGTATTCAGGTGCATCGGGGAGCCCAGGGATTCTCGTGTAAGGGTACGATGATAACACTTCAGCGGCTACTTGACGACTCTTATCGTGATACTGAGCCGGATGAGACGGAATTCCAACTTCAAGTAGCCACTTATGCATATCCAAGCCCATAGTCACCACTCGTTTCAAGTTTTCAACACGCTTAAAAGTCTCGATCTGCTGCCGAGAAAAGCTTCCAACGTCCTTAATAACCAGCGTTTCCACAGATTCGCTTTTCTTTTGAGTCGTTTCTTGGCTGGGTTGAGAGCTATCAACAGAAATGGCGTCCTCTTCCGAATTCGAGAGCGGAAGGAGCTTCAGGCACGTATCCAGTAGTTTCGTCAGGAGAAGGTAAAATGCGTCCTGTACCAGTACAGAATTTTTCATCGTTTGCAGCTTCGGTTTTATTGTCTCCGCGTCCCCGTACTTCACACTCACACCAGACAGACGCCTTTGTACCTCGCGGAAGTCCGGTTGTACTCTATCCAAAGTGTTCAAAACGGCAAGTAAGGTGACCTCACCTCCTTTATTCTGCCTTCCTCAGCAGCTTCGTACCTTTTTCTATCAGCTTTCTCTCCTTCAATAATTTTCTTTCTCGACGTCTTGGGCGCTCCCACTTTGGATTGAGACGAATAGATACATTACTCGATGCATCCGCAGGCTTGTCTTTAGTAGATTCATCTTTCGCGCTTCCAGTATTAGTGTCTTCCTCATCACTACTGTCAATACCAAACTCCGTCTTCACATCAGTGTCCGTGAATCGTCTCGACTGTGAAATACGCTCCAACCCCGACGCAGTTGTAGTTTCGTTCTCAATTGCCACCTTCTTCTGTCGAACATTTCTCCACTTGTTCATCACAAATTTAAGCATGTCCTCAAACTCTGCCTCATCCTCGATGTCAGCCATTTCGCTGGCAATCAAATGCGTGACGCGTACAGCCTCTCGATAGCGTTCTGAGCGAGTTCTTACTTTTTTTTTGACAGAACCAGGAGTTGAATCTGTGAATTTCTCGTAGGCAAATTGACGCACTTTCTTCAGTTCCTAGGTAGGGTTTGTCCATCTAAGTCATCATGTACAAATACAGGATTTGAAAAACAATGGTACATGAGAATGTTAGTCATGGAAGAATCCAGTACTAAGAAGTGGAAGTTTCCAGTACTTAACAATGCAAGCACAAACCTTTCGTCGATTCGACTCCATGGAATCACTGGACCACCCACATTGTGGTGTTTGCGGTACGCTACTGTATGGCGGCAGGGCAAACACGTCGAAGCAGCAAAATCACAGTCACAACTCCAGTCATCCACACGTAACTTACGCTCCTTGAAGAGTCCACCGATCAGAAAGACGCTTGTATCGTTCGAGTCCTGCTCGTACATGTAACGGGACGCCTTTGCAATTCCAACGATTTGATGCAGTTTGACATACTCATAGTCCCGTCCACACCTTCTTTGAGCCACCCAAAAAACTCTCCAAGCGGTTATTCGTGTGGTTGCCGAAATGTGGTAAAGAGACCCGTAGATAATAAACCCATCTTTCAGTGCTTGAGTGCCAATTTTTTTTCGAAATACTGGAAGAAATCATTCATACCGCAGTGTTCGCATATGCCCTTCAGAGATTCGTGCGCCTCGTTGTACTTCTCCTCGGATTCTGCATAGACGATCTTGTGCACCGCCGCATCAATCTGACTGGCGTCATCACCTGAAATTTTTCCAAACTCTGGCTTCGATCGCTTTTCATTCAGGTATTTGATCACGTGGAAGTGACAAATTAGGACGCGAGCTTCCGGAAAGTCAGACTCCAACACCTTAATCTCGTTTAAATCCTTGTCCACTACAATAACGCGCAGCGAATTACTCCGCATCGAATGAAATCTCTTGAAGTGGGAGATAGCCCTCCCCATGTGCCAGTCCGCCGTTAGCCTCAATTAGGGACTGCTGAACCACTGCCCCCTCACCGGACTCGCTCATCCCCATAAACGTAAGAAGCTGGTAGTTGTATCTAGAATAAAACATGGTAACATAAAGGATTACCTTGATAAATCATGTATACTTCCAGGATTTCACAAATCTTTGAGTGACGGCTTACCGATTCGTCTTGTGGCTGCAGTCCACGAGCAGAAGCTCACTAAACCGTGCATACACGCTCCTCATGTGACCAGAAGCCATTGAAATCACTCCTGTGTCTCCATAGTCTGTATCAGCAACAGACGCCAGGTTCTCCGGATCAGCTGCGGCAAAGAGGGCAATCTCTCTAGCAATCGCTTCATTATCATCCACCTTTGTCCCCGTAGAGGAATGCTCACGGACGAGATTGTCCACGTCAGCTTGAATGACGTTCTCGTCATGCTCCAATAAGTAGTCGTAGATTCGTGATCGTTTTGCGCCGGCTTCCTGCATCCCCTGAACTCGAGCACCGACCAGCGGATCAAAGACACCACGGGACGTGGGGTATGTCGCAAACGCCGCTGGGGATACTTGATGGTTGTGTGAGAAGATGCCATTCTTCACCTGTAGTTCCCCACGCGCCAAATTCCACTGTGCCACGAAACGAAAAGGACAGTTGGTAAGCCGGATGTGCTGGCGCGGCCGACTGCCCTCGCTGCGCGACTTGCGCTTCTTCCACCCGTGGGTGCAGATATAGGTGCGCTGGTACGAGTCGAAGCCCTCCGGCACCAGCTCATTTTCATCCGCACCCTACCTTGTTTTGGAGAGACGCGTGTTTCTTTCAGATCTGGACATTGTCTCCTTGACTGGAATGACCTGCATCGTGCGACGGCAATAGTCCACGAAGTACACCTACCACACATCCCAGTTGGCATGATACTTCACAGGTGGGTCCACAAACACTGTGGTAACATCACTGGTGCTTGCACTGCCACTATCTTCATCGAAAACATCCGCTTCTGAAGACCGCCCAGCCTCTACGTCTCCACAGCCTTCAACGTCCATTTGTTCGCCCACCTCTACATCGAACTGCCGGTCTCTAGGCCTGTCCGACAGGACGCTCTGGCTTTCACAGGTCTCCTCAGCGTTATCTCCATCTCCTATGGTGTCTTCGGCGTTATCTTCAGCGCTGCTTGCAGTATCTGCACCTCCAGACTCTGCAACAAGGTGCTGGGCCGCGCGCGCAGAGCGACCACGCGGAGGAGCTTCGTCATGCATGCGTTGCTGCGCAGGCGCGTCGCCGCTGGTCTCTGGAACTGGGGAAACGGGTTCCTTCGGTATCTTACCGGCGGGCGCCAGAATCAAAAATGAAACGCCAGAAATTTATAAAGATCGAATTTAGCCGAAATGCGAATGAAAATATTTTTCAATCCTGGATACTTACTGGATTGAAACATGTACGGATCAATGTAGAAAATCATGGCCTCCAACGGAACCGAAATTAAATTATGGCAGTATTTATTATTGCTTCAAATAACGAACTTGTAATTTACAAGTAGCACCTAAACACGTACAGTGAGCGGCAACTTGGGCTCATGATTATCCATCCCAAGCTGAAGGAATGGTATCACCCAAGTCGCTTCAGGACTGTTTGAAGAGCGAGGTGACTACGGCGCAGAAGTAAACCCACCGATTCCAACCTGATTCCTGTGTGCTCTCATAAAACCCAGGTTCTAGCGATGGAGACAACCAAAACCAAGAACCAAGTGAGCAGTCATCACTTCCAGGACACCTATTTGAAACTAAATACAACCCACAAGAAGTACCGAGAAAAGTTTATGCAAGCAGAAGACCGGGGATACACACTACAATTAAGCTGTGTAGGAAGCGTCGGTGCTCTCATTTCAGCAGCGACGAACCTGAGCCACTCATACCTAGAAAAGCAGCCATGACAGTCGGAAAAGCAGCCATGGATCTGAGAGTCGCAGTGAGACTGAACATGGCCATTGTTGATCCGACACCCTGTAAATCAAGCACGCCTTGAAATATAAGGTAATATCACAGTGTACAACACTGCACGCCGCCTTGTGAGTGTCCGGTCGTACTGGTTTTCTACATCGGCAGCGCTTCAGCCCCATCTGCACTTTTGGATTCGCCTCCTCTCGCCCAAAACGACTAGCAAACTCCTCCCCGTGCAAGCTCCTCCCAACTGTTAACTCTAGCGCTGAACTCCAAGTCTTGTCTGCTTGCCTCGTTTCAGCGTCAAGCAGCACCAGTACTGCAGTCAGGACGTGCAATCCCACCATCAAATCTAGCCAAATCCGACCAAAAGGTCAAATTATAAAGTATCCAAAATGGACGAGCTCCCACAAGTCCCTCCGCCGGGTACCAGCCCGCGGTCCAGTAGCTCCTGGCGCCGCAGTGATCACCCCGTGGCTCGCGTTGCCCCCATCGCCACCACCACGTGCCAAGTCTGCTCCGAAAGCATCGCCAAGGGCGAATGGCAACTCGGATTCATGTTCATCCACGTTGAAGGCTTCATGATCACGGAATGGTATCACTTGCAGTGCTCCGAGTCATTGTACACCCGTGACATCCTCCAGAATGTGCAGAGCGAGATGACTCCGGAGCAGAAGGAAGACTTCCAGCAGGCTTGCCAAAAGGTAGCAAACCCATAACAAGAAACACAAAAGATCGTGAAGTAAAGATCTTAATAGATAGAAAACCAGTAGACCAAGGAAAAAACTGCCATGAATTACGATATTTCTCGTCTTAGTTTCTAGTCCTCCTTGTCTGCTGTCATTGCCTTTAACGACCACTTGTCGCGCTTAATGTCCAAGTGCAGCGGTGCCCAGTGCAGCTTCTCAGGAACGACCTGAGGGCCTTTCTTCGTCAGCTTTGTCAGGTGCGCGTCCACGATCTGCCTTGGAACCACGTACACGTACTGTCCGCCTAGATACTTGATCATGTTGAGGTGTTGCAGTGTCGCGATAATGTCCTCGTTCTTGATGGACGTCATCTGAAAGAAACGACGTAGAAATAAGCTACAGACATTTCAAGTCATACACCACGGCTAGACTTCGTTACGTACCCGAGTGAGCTCCATGATGGATACCTCTTTTTCCGGATAGTCTCGTAGAATACGCAGCAGTTCGCGCGTCCAATAACTTCGATAACTTACGAGTCCAAGATCTGATAGAGGCTTTTCAGGCGAGCCCACCTTCTCTTCTTTCTTGCTGAGTTCGTATGAGAACTGGATGATGAAGTGACCGTAGCCTTTGCGTTGATGGCATGGGAACGTAAGGATACAAGCCAGATTGTAACCCAGCTCCGAGTATTTCTCCTTGGAGAAATAGCCCACCGGATGGAAGCCACGCGAGTCGATTTCACAGATAATGTAGAATAGGAACGGGTCCACGTCGTAGTAAAGCGTCTTATGGTCCAGGAACAGCCTGCAGTAATGAGAGAAAAAAAAAACTTAGGATACCGAATCATCTCATTGCTGTTTCATGACGAAACCTACTTGGCGAAGTAGCATAGATTCTGACAGTAAACCTTGGAAATTGCGCCGTCCACCTCGAAAACGCTCAGATTTTCATGTCGGTATATTTCGTTGCCTGGCGGATGCTGCAGTTGTAGGAAAAACATCACAAAGTTAGTGACAATAAAAATACAGCCACAAAATCTGCCACTTACGCGGTTGCACACTCGGCGCTCTTGGTGCACTTTCAGTTCGCGTTTGAAGCGAAAGAATGCCATGCAGAACTCGCAGAAATGCAGCTGCACCGTTATTAAACGCCAATATAAAAACGTTAGCACCCATAGCGCAATTCGGTAGCAGATTGAATAATAGCACCTACACAATCGATTGACCCGTCCGGATAATACTCCTTCGGAAACGGCGAGAAGTACCAAGCAGCCATACGAAAGCGTCCCATCTCGACAAACCGCACATTCTGCACCAACAATCGTCTGTGCTTAAAAAAAATAATTTTAACATCCCAAGCCAACTCCAATACGTACCTTGACTTTAGTGACCTCCTCGTGCTCTCGAATACTGGCGGCATCCATACCTTCGTGTTCGTCATGTTCTTCTTCTTGAGGAATGAAATCCTGATCATCCGGAGTCTTTCGCTTTTGCCCTCGAGTACGAGCTGAGGGATCTGTACTCGAACCTGCGGCCCCGTCCTTCTTGTCTCCAGCGCCAGTTGCCTTGCTCTTGCTGCGGCTCTTGGCACGCTGCTCTTTCTCCTTCTCCTTGGCGTCTTTTTCCTGCAGCTCGAGTGTCTCCTCGTCGGTGCCTCGGCGCACGATCTCGTGTTCGTTGATCCATTCGTCCATACGGCGGTTGAACTGCAGTAACACAAGCAAATTCTTATTAGATAACGTCAAAATTTCATAAAGAATGGTATGAAAATGAGCGTACATCATGCCAGTGTACATAATACTTGAACCGATCATTGCTCAGCGCCGCTATGTGGGCAAAGCAGTAAAAAAAATTAAATGATAGTACCAGCCTCTGAAATGTTCTATAAAAAAACGCGGAGATAGCTCTACGTACTGCGCTCGATCACGACACATGTGCGCTCCGTTTTGCCCATCCAGCGCGCAACCAGTGTAGTCCCCACAGGGTAGCCCGGGCCATCGTTGGGCGTCTCTTCCTTGCTCTCCTTGGCTGCCTCGCTCTCGACCTTGGACTTCATGTTTGACAACTGATGAAGTCAGTCAGATGGGGGATTCAATATCATTTTACTGAAGTATCCAACTTATTAATCATCAGAACTATCATTTTACAAAGTTCCTCGATCTAGTGACGTCGAAATCAGTTGAAGAAAGAATATCAAAGCTGATGGAAGACGAGCTGGATTTGGACGAGCGCGTGACAGCGCAGCAGCCGCTACTGGGACTACACGATGACGACTACAACCCGAGGAAGAGATCGAACAAGCCGTGGTACCGGCGCCGTCTAGCCACCGTCACTGGTGTGGTGCTGCTCGTATGTGGTCTCTCATACTTGGTTGTATCCAGTCAAATCACACGCATCGCCACCAAGGCCATCAAGGACACGGTCATGCACATTGAGAGGATGGATCTAAGCCAGCCACAACCAACCTCTGTAACACTGAACCTCAGTCTGAGTCTCATGGCGGCGTCCCCGTTCCCAGCGACAGTGGAGCCCGCAAACTTCAGTATAAAATATGAAGGTCTCCAAGTCGGCACCTTCCAAGCCCCCTCCATGACGATAACTCATGGCACCAACAATCAAATGTTCCCCAATGCAACACTAAAAATTCAGGACAAGAAGGCTTGGGATCAGTTTGCAGGGGATATGATGAGACGTCCCAGCGTGCAATACGAGATCTCCAGTAAATTGAACATCCACGTTCGACTACTGGGTGGACTGGTCAAGTTAAGTGCCTCGGGCATTCCGTTGAACAAAATGATGAAATTCAGCGGAATGGACGGACTGCGGGACATGCAGATCGCTCAAGTTGATATGCAACATTCGACCCAAAAACAAGTAGTGGCGACTATCAAGACATGTATTCACAACCCGTCGGTCACAACGATCAGACCGGTCGGAGCTCTGTGTCTCAATGCCCATTACCCGAAATTGGGGCATGATACGCTTGTGGCACACTTAACGACGTCGGGGAATACGGGTTTACCGGTTGCAGACGGACAACCGTCGCATCCGTACTGTGCATCGCTTCAGGGGCCGACGGATATGAGTAAGGGGTACAATTTACTGGAGCTGCAAGGTGAAATGTTGGGCACTAACTCGGAAGCGATTAGCGGATTGATTACAAAGTATCTAAGTAATGTGTCCGCCGAGCTGACGGTTGTGACGTGTAATCCCCAGGCGACGTCGGTGGAATTGTATAATGAAGCGATGAAGAATTTGACGATTGAAAGCTCGTTGCCACCTCAAAAAGACCCGTTGGTGGGGAATATGTTTTTCCGTGGGATTTCGTTGCACGCCCCCGAACAAGGCAAGGAGAACGATGTTGTACAGCTCGACACAGCTGTCCTGGTGGAGGCTACAAGTCCGTTGGGTCCTAACTCGGCGTTGACCATCACGGATGTGCACATGAATGTCAGTCTCAAAGGTGAGGATGTGACTTTAGGAACGCTTTCGACTGTCTTTGTTGATATTGTTGACGGAGAGCTAGTGGGCCGAAGCAATATTTCTGTCGAGTGTCTGACGGAGCTCGACCTTGCGGAAAGAGGAAAAGCATTCGGCAGATTCGTTCGTGCATCCGTTGTTAAGGAGAAGATTCCGTTAACTCTCGCTGGTAAAATGGATGTAGTGTGTCATGGAGCTCTCGGTACGTTTTTACGATTATTGCTATGACGTGTTTTTCGGTATTTTACATCGTTGGTACTGTTTCTGTGTTGTAGGGACGCTGAAGCTCTCAGGGTTGCCTCTTCGCATTACTACGTTGCTGAATGGGATGAACCATTTCCAAGATGTGACAGTGAAGAGTTTTGCGTTACCAGGAACTGGCAGCGCGATGGAACATAAAGAACCGATCCAGACGCAAATTGAAATTCGCAATCCGTCTGTGTTTACAGTGTCCATCGGTACGCTCACGATGGACTTAAGTCTGAACGCACCTAGAGAAAAATTTGGATCACTTCATGGCAGAATGAATCTGGCCCCAGGCATGAACAATCTGGAGATGAACGGCCACTTAAAGCCTTCAGTAGATGCCGCGGGGCAAGTGAATGCTGCCGTGGCGGGATTTTTCTCTCGTTACCTGGAGGGTAATAGCTCTCAAGTGGTTGTGAAGCTCACAGGTACTCAATATGGTAATTGTGTGTGGATGCAAGAGGCTCTGGTGGGGTTGACAATCGAGACGAGCTTCCCTGGTGTTGACAAGGGTTTCCAGATGATTAAGGATATTAAGATGAACCAGCTTGGTGTCATTCTGGACGAGGCACCACCAGGTGAGAGAGGCCCGGTGACCAATACACGCATGCGGGTTCGTACCGACATGAAAGCCAAGGTGAAGATGCCAGCCTCTATCAATATGCCTCTGAAGATTTCGAATTTATCTGTTGCGCTCACTCTGGAGAATGAACACGGCGATCATCTCGGTTCGCTTGTGTCTGATCGAGAAACCTGCGAGTTCAATCAGACGGATGACGGAGCTTTTCGCTTGAATATGAGTCATTTCTACCCGATTGGGTTTAATACGCACGAAGACGTCACTGGGATGGCAGGTTTTATCAATGCTTTACTTACGAAGAATGGAAGCATTATGATGCGGCTGGCTAGCGATAAACGCGCTAATGAAGGAGCGTTCCCGGATGTTGAGACGAGAATGGGGATGCTTGCTCTTAGCAATATTCCGGTTCAAGGTGAGCCGCTTATTTCAGCGATGGATTCTTTTCGCCACCCTCCCGTTAAGGTTCTAAGTGTCAATATCCAGCGAGGTTCACCATCGTCAATGGTGATGACGATGGAGTTTTCTTTGCAAAACCCGTCCATTGTGCAAACAAAATTGGGTTCGCTGGTGCTGGATGTATTTTCCGATGGAGCACGAATGGGTTCTGCCAAGATCTCGGATTTCAGTCTCAATTGCTGCGGCAAACCTACAGTTCTTCGTGGAACGTTCGAGTACAACCCGCAGCCGAGTGACCTCGCCACAGCAGAGAAGTTTCTGTCGAACTTTGTGTGTGGATACTTCACACACGGAGCTGCCCAGGAGGTAACCATTTTCATGCCTTAAAGTTTTTTTTTTCTGAATACTAACATGACGTAACCTGGATTATAGATTTCAATTAGGGGGTCTGCTGCGACTACCTCGTTGGATCTTCTTCAACCAGCGATGAAGGTCCTTTCGATCCCTTCCAAGTTGCCTACTTTGAGCGAGTTGTTCCCAGCGACGCCAACTCTTGTCACCTCGTCACTCTTGTACATTCCGTCGATTTTTCATTTGAATCGGATTCCGACGTCGCTCGAACTACGGAACCCGTTCAGTGAGAGTATCACAGTGACAGGAGTGGACTTGGAGCTGTACCCGTGCGAGATCCAGATCTCAGGTGCGTACAATAGTTACTCATCTATTGTCTGTTATCACTTACAATTGTTGCCCTTTGTACAATGGTAGGTGATGACGGCAAACTGGTGTGCATGAAATATTTCGAAAAGTCCCTCGCTCGCTTCGCTCCTACAGTGTTTCAGCCGATCTATATTCCAGCGAACAGCAACGGCTGCTTCTCATGCTGCCAAGGCTCTCACTGCAGTGACCATGTGTCGTTGTGCCCACGGGCATCGGTCGATCAGTGCATGAACGCCGATGTCCAGAGCTTCTTGAGTCCCGAGGCCATCGCGACAATTATTCACTCGCTGACAGGTGGCCTGCTGATGCGCGTTAACGGTAGCATCGGCGCATCGATCGGTGACTATGCCACGCACATGTTCTACCAACAAGACGGACTCTTGGTAACGATGGCCAAGTAGACCAAGGAACTATAAAGAGCGGTAAGCGTAGCGCTAAATGCTGACTGAATTGCCTGTTTTTTATTCGATCGCTTGATACGTGGTCAATTTGATAATCTCATATTTTCTACTGAGTAGAATCCTTCTTGAATACTGACGCTGTCCACGTATATCCAGAGTGAATGAACGTACTGGACAAAGATTGCATTTGGACACGGTTTTAGTGCTAACCTAGATCTAAAGTCGACGATCTAGCTCAACGGGTGGTCGTGCCATCCCCCACCCAAGCCAAAAGTGTTTAGCGTTGGAAGAAGTGGAGCTCCAGTGGACGTGAGATCAGCATCGCCACGACTGTGAAGATGCAGCCCAATTCGAATCCGATGTCGCCGTGGCTGGCCAGTGGACCGACAAACCAAGTCTGACTCATACCCAGCGCCACACCCGCACAACCACACAGGAACGAGAAAATAGCCGCAATGCCGATCGGAAGCATACTCTTGGCGTTGTAGTCGTCAACGTTGTAACCACGGAAGCCTCGTCGAAAGACGAAATGTTCAGTCAACGCAACAGAGACGTAGATTGTTGCCCAGTACGCGATGAAGTTCATAAAGTTGTTGAGTACCGACTCGAAGTGCGAATAACCCTCAATAGCGATAATCGCGTACACTATCGCACCGATGAGTGCCCAAAGGAATCGCGGCACCACACGAGTCCAACGACCGATCACCTTGATATTGAGCGTGAATGAATACACATTCGGGCAGTTGTTTGCAACTGTTGACAGCGCCATGATAACCAAGCAGAAGCGTCCAAAGTCTCCCAGATGAGGAATCAACACGGCACCGATCAATCCTCCAGCACCGGAATCGTTGTAGCCGTTCAGATAGATGTTATCCGTGGCAGTTGGGTCGAGTCCCGTTGCCGACATGATGATAACAGAGATCCACTCGGTGAAGACTGAAGGGAAGATCAATCCCAGCCAAGTGGCGAAGAAAATCTTGCGTTTGCTCTCGGTCGGCGGGTGGTAAACTGTGTAGTCTGCCGCCATAGAACTCCAACTAATGGCCGTTCCGAACACGACAGAGAAGAAACTCAACGCTCCTGACACCTCTGCACTTCCACTCCCCATCGGAATGTGAACATACGCCCCAGAATGAATAAAAGTACCCAACAGAATCAAGTACACGATGAAATTTGGGATCCACGAGTATCGTTCATAGTAGTGAACGACTTTGTATCCGAAGAGGGTGATGAGGAACGTGCAGAACGCGATGATGATGATTCCAGCCCAACCAGGGACATCGTTGTTAGCTGCATGGATCAATTCAGCACCAACGATCACGTTCACTGTAGCCCAACCCAGTCCAGAAACACAGGCAATCGCAGATACTACACGAATCCCATACGAGCCGAACCAGAAGCGACCGAGGATCATTTGACGCAGTCCGAACACTGGTCCGAAGCACGAGAAGAAGCACACTGGGAAGACTCCAAGTAAGTTTGCGAAAAGAATCACCAGCATCGAGTCTATGACGCCCATTCCGTAGATGGCTTTGCCCAGGATTCCTACCGCAAAGTGACCCATGACCATGTTTGGTGACAACCACATAGTGCACACGTTGACAAGGGATGTATCGTAACGCTCGTCCTCGGGGACGCGTTCGATGCTGCGAGGCTCCATGTAGTTTTTCTCAGCCCACCGCTGTGCGCGTGCATACCAGGTGTCTCCATTCTCGTACTCGACGAGGACGTCAGCGTCGGTATCGAATTGAAAGTAAGAATTGGCAGAGTTCTTCTCCAGATCGACTTCTTGGATGTGCGCCATGGCGTCGCTACAGTCTCTCGGCTACGTGGACCCGGACGAGCGAGAGAAGACTGAATGGCAGCGACAGAATTGTAGGGTGCAAAAGCAAAAATGAGCTTGCCGTCCTTGCAGCTTGGTGGGGCCAAGGTGAGAGCGGTGGTGTACGATAGACGTCACACGGAGTGCTTTGCGCACATGCGGACACGTTACCTGTGGCCAATGAACAGATCTCCCGACGGTATGACGCGCTGGTCGATTGAAGTACAGCGCTTCCTTTGTTATCAGGTTGTCTTGATCTTGTGCGCTAGTCACGGCATTCAGACAATTCGGAATTTGCCGATGTCCCACACCGAGACTTGCATGCAAAATGGGCTGGCAATTTGCTGCTGAGATGACTGCTACAGGTACTGTATCACCACTGTGTTTCGGGCCGTGCGAATGGAGCTCTTGAATTCTGCTGTATTGCCGCGAGAGGCTACGAATTTAAACGAGCTGCTGGAGTGATGTAAGCATGAAGCACTTTGTAGTCAGCCTCCGTCGCGATGTGACCTCAGACGACGATACCAAGCGACTGCTATTGGCCGGTTGCACAGTGATGCACGGCGACGGCTTTGGTCGACCTCCGGAAGCGCTTTATCCCATCAAAGGTAATTTACATGTATGGATGCATGTATCGCTTTATCTTTTCACACTTGCCCTTCGTCCTAGAAGTTTAAAGACGAAGGGCAAGTGTGGTCAAAGTTTGAGTACGCGGTGTCTTGCTGCTAATATCTACTGCAACTTCCCGAACTTGCCATTCGCTTTATATTAACCCCTTCGTTACCAACGTCGTAACTTACGACGTAGCGAAAACACTAAGTCGTAAACTTACGACTTAATTCTCAAGATAAACAGGAAATGGCTCAGACGCGGCGATCCAATACTTTAATCAAGTCTGTTTCGCGGCAAAAAAAATATAAGCTGGGAAAGGTAGCCCGCGACAGGGAATAAAAAGGCTGCGGTTGGATACACTGTCCCACTATCAGGAAACCGTACATTTGGTGGGTGGTGGATATGCTCCACCAGTTCACAATTTGCGGGCTGGAGTGAAGATGCCAGTCAGAACAAGCAAGCGGACAAAAGCTCAAGCGGAGGCGCTATCAACAATCGACGTGCGAGATGTGGACTTCGGCCATCTATGGCGTCAGCTCGTGCGTGTCGGATGGACGTCAAAGAAGCCAACGCGGCTGTCCAGCTTGCACTCTTACTACTCCCCCAACGCTACAAAGGAACCACGCGTCGAGGGTGTGAACATGTTTATCGGTAAGTCTTTCGTGTGCATTCTACTACAGTGTATCTGATACATGCTTTGTGCTGTGTACGCGCAGGAGAACATGCGGTAGTACTATATGCGGTTGAACAGGGCATCATCGGCGCTGAAGAGGGAAGTGCAAGCGAAGACAAAGAGGGCCAGAGTGAAGATGATGAGCCAGACGATCCTGCGGTCTGTGAGAGGGTAACAGCGTCTCAGATTGACACGACTGTTGCCCTCTCAGCAAACACCGTTGATGCATTGTTCGGATCCAAGAGCGAGGAAAGCGATGAAGCTGCGGAACGCCCGCTATGCGCCACAAGCCCGCACATAGAGGACGAGAACACGAGGTTGTCGCAGATCGACACAAGTATTGCGCTGTCGGGAAATACCATAGACGATATCTTTGGAGGGGAAGACCCGGATGCATCGCCATGCGTCGGTCGAAATGGTGCTGGAGAGCCTGTGACACTGACAAGCACGAGACGAAGAGATACCGTCACCGGGGCGGTGGCGCGAACAAACTCGGG